GCCGACCTGACCGGGGTCGGCCGGGCGGCGACCTAGCGTCACTAGAACTGCAATAACTTTTGCCGGCAGTGTGATGCCGACCTAATTTTTTCAGCAAATGAATCACAATTGTACGGTATATGTTATGGACGTTGTCTCGATGTGAAGCACGCTGTGCGTTTTTTGGTAGGCCTATGTAAATATTGAAATCCTCAAGCCCTTCTGCTTTGTGCAAGTGTGCAACAATTAGCGTACAATAACTGAGTGGGAAGTTTTTTAGATGTACTTTTGTTACCAATGGATTCCGCACATTTTCCCCTTTCAGCTGATATCTTACTTACACATTTTCAAGCAAAGAATATGACAGGAGACTCGTCAACATTTACATGAAAATCGCAGCACAAGTTCGGTCTCACGGAGCAAAACAAAACGGTGTACTTTGGGAGCCCACCAATCGGTGCCAGAATGAGTAATATTTTTTCTGGATGATATTTTATAAAGTCTGAACAATTTACAACCAGAAAATGCGAGAAAAGCACGCTTTAAAATTCGTCGAAAATTAGGGTATTGGCCACTTCTGAACCTGGATAGCGGCTGTGTGCTCTGGTCTGACCGAGCCTGACGCGACGCGCCGCCGCCACCGGTCCCACAAAAACGCAGCGGCACGGGGAGGGACTAGGGAGGAGGCCACTCGGCCGCGCACTGCAGGTCGGCTACGCCCCAGGACCGGTCACCCACCCAGCTGCGTACCGGCATCGCATATCCAGCCGTGCAATGATATGCCAGGATCGGGCCGCTGTATGCAGCGATCAACAGATTGCCAGGGCGGCCTAGCATTACAGGGCAATGTACTGAGGTCTGCGCTCTTGGTATTACTTATTAGGTTCGGTGTGGACTTTGGAAGTGAAAAGGACCATGCAATACGGATGCGTATCGACTTTTTGTCAATCAGTTGCGCTGCGATCGCTTAGCGCTAATGGTTGTGGTGCATGCGAATTTGCCGTCTTTGTTCATTGAGAAATATTTGACCCACGCAGCTTCGGCTTCTGGGAGTTAATGGGTAACAGCACGCAATGTTCCGACCGATTATCAATCATGTCACCAGTGGCACGCGAACAGTGATCGACCCTCCCAATCTCAGTCACTTTGCTTGTATGCTAGTCGCCCGTCCCCTCGATCTCGCACCCCCTCTTCTGTCTTCCGCACTTCGTTAGCCTGGTCTCGGGGCTTGGCGGTCTCACACACTTCACGGCAGCGTGGTATGAGTTCCGTCACGGAACTCCACCATTACCTCGTCAGCGTAGTGGTCTCCCACGCATCATCCGTTGGCCTCAGTGCACTCAGCTCCCTCGGGGTGCAGCGGCCAGCCGCAGACGGCTACCGTGGGCCGCTGACAGGAGCCCTGCCAGAAATAACCGCCAGACACCCCGCCTCCGGCATAGAACATTTACATCAAGCACTTTGAACACTTCATGCGTGGCAAACTTGAGCACCCGGACAAATTCGCGCTGCCAGCTATGCGAGTGTTTAGAATCGACCGACTTTGATTACAAGACGCCGCCTTCTGAAGTTGTGTCAGGCCGTATTTCATGCGGGCTGAAGAACGCTGCCTGTCAGCGGCGGCCGCGGCCTTCGTCCTTCACTGCTGTCAGTGGGCCGACCGGCCCAGTAAGTGGCGCTTCTGCGGCGCTCAGTGGCGCGTTTGCGGCGGCGTGTGGCGCGCCAGCTGGTCCGTCCCGAGTCCATCTGTGCTCGCACAGAGTGCCGCCAGTGGCCCCATCAGTCACGGGAGGCGGTGTGGAGAAATGCCGCAGTCGTGCGACCACGTCACCGCACTCGACTGGAGGCTGGTGCTGTCTGCGTCGCTGCTGCTAGCGGCCACTCTCTTGCACTTACCGAGTGAGCGACAATTGGAGTCCAGCTTTTATCCCTGATACACCGCGCTGTCTTAGTACTACCAGTAAGCTGGTGGGCTTCAGTAGAACTCGATGCATTGGGCTTCGTGAACGGCTTCTTACCGATCGGGCTCACGCAAGGCTTCCCAGTCTGGCGAGACAAGGTCGTCTTGTGGTCGCGGATGCTAGCCTATTGCTGAGTGTTCGATGTTCAATTTTTTTAGGTATTCCAAAATATGAGCACGATGCAGTACTCGGGAGACTCAGCATAATATGTATTGTCCGATACCTCATCTTTTTCTATAATCTAAGCTTCATTCTCATTTATGTAGTAAATGGTCAACTAAAGCTCGCTATTGACGATAGGCATAGCACTGTTGGGCAGATTCATTTTTAACTGTTGCAAGACATTTGACCTCTATCACTTGGGTCGCAGCTGTTTGAGTTGTTCTGCTAACTTCTTGAAACTTTAAACGGTTTCTGTCTGAAAACTCATTAGCCACATCCAACTATTTTCGCAAGAATTGTGAGGTTCATTATTGGGTAACTTGAATGATAATCTGTTGTCTGGGCGCCGTTGCATTTCGTTATCCAATTTTATAACAGTTTCCCTTTCAGTGTTTTTGTGAGCTCCTCCCATGGCAAAAAGGAGCTACAGATGAAAATGGGGAAACATCCATTAAAACGTATATGAACCGCCTGAACGCATTTTTATCGCAATCAATAGCGATCCAATAGCCTCAAGAATAGACTTGTGTGCAGTGTGCAGCATTGGTCACCGGGTATTTGGAGGATCATCCATCATTCAATCGGGCAGTGAGGCTCGCCTACCATTTTCAGTTCCAGACTCTGCCCACGCTAACCCATACCATGCGTCGTGACATCACCATCAGCTGTGACGTCACGCGTCACGACGCCGTCACGCTCTGCGGTCTGGATCGGGACGTGACGGCGCCTCCCCGGGAGGGAGGGGGCGCAATGACCCTGTCACGGCCGTGACGGTCGTTGTGCGGTGAAGTAACCGTTCCGGTGGACGTTTGCACGGAGATCTCAGCGGGCGATGGTAGGCCTCTGACCCACGAAGTTGTGTGGTGCTCCACGCTCCGCCAGCGTCACTATCAGTGTTTGTTCCGCCGCTTGTGTCCATTATCCAGCCCTCGTCTCAGTGGGCTGCCGACTCGGGCCGCCATGCTCAGCTGGGGGTAAAGTGTCGTTTGATCTTGGAAAAGTGGGGATAATGCCAGTGATGGTTCGTCTGACCTCTCTCTAACCTCTGACCCAGCCCCTGACCCCTCCTACCGACCCGATTTCGTCTGACAGCTCCTTCTCTGACCAGGGGCGGATCCAGGAAAACTCCAAGGGGAGGGTCATGAATCGAAGTGGTGCCCCTACCTATACCCAAAATTAAAAACTCAACGGATTTCGTCCACTTCATTTTGGTGGTGCCCCCATTTTCAGTTTTTTCTTTTTATTTTTTATTTTTAGTCAGTATCATAACTCTTAGCCACAACCACATTTACCAATTGTAAGCAAGTATATATGAATGTGCTATGTGCATAGATGCTATGTGTATATATGTTGTGGACGCTGAGTAGTGAGTACTTACCAGGAACGTTATCAGGTAAGCAAATCGTTGTCAGTCCGACGAACTTGACCCTGGCGTCTAAAGGGTCTGTCCTTGACACTTCAGGCTTGTCAGGGGCACCAAAGTCCTTCCAGGGACACCACAAACCTTTCAGGGGCACCTACGGCCTTGTAGGGGCGCCACAGGCCCGCCAGGGGCACCACAGGCCTGCCAGGAAGTAGGGGCACCACAGGTCTAGCAAGTATACACGACAGGCCTGTCAGGGGCACAACGGACCTGTTGGGCCCATGAGCACCCCTAGGGGCAGGGGCACCACAGTCCTTCCAGGGGCACCGCAGGCCTGTGAGGGGCACCAGCGGCCTAGCAGGGGCACCAGTCAACACAGGCCTGCCAGGGGCACCACAGACCTGCAAGGGGCACCAGAGGTCTGCCAGGAGCACCACCGACCCCGCAGGGGTAACTTGGGCCTGTCAGGGGCCAGGGGCACCACAGGCCTGTCGAGAGGCACTTCAGGCTTTTCAGGGGCACCATAGTCCTCTCCGGGCGCAGGGGTAGCAGGGGCACCAGAGGCCTGCCAGGGGCACTACAGGCCTAGCAAGGGCACCACTGGTCTATCAGGGGCACCACGAGCCTGTCATAGCCAGGCATCTCAGGCTTGTCAAGGCCCAGGGGCACCACAGGTCTGTGAGGGGCACCAGCGACCTAGCAGGGGCACCAGTCAACACAGGTCTGCCAGGGGCGCCACAGACCTGCCAGGGGCACCACAGACCTGCCAGGGGCACCAGAGGTCTGCCAGGGGCACCACCGGCCTCGCAGGGGCACCTTGGGCCTGTCAGGGGCACCACGGGCCTGCCGAGGGGCACTTCAGACTTTTCAGGGGCACCAGTCCTCTCCGGGCGCAGGGGTACCAGCGGCCTAGCAAGGGCACCAGAGGCCTGCCAGGGGCACCACAGGCCTAACAAGGGCACCACGGGCCTGTCAGGGGCACCTCAGGCTTGTCAGGGCCCAGGGACACCACAGTCCTTCCAAGGGCACCGCAAGCCTGTCAGGGGCACCAGAGGCCTGCCAGGGGCACCACAGGCCTAGCAAGGGCACCACTGGCCTGTCAGGGGCACCTCAGGCTTGTCAGGGCCCAGGGGCACCACAGTCCTTCCAGGGGCATTACAAGCCTGTCAGGGGCACCAGAGGCCTAGCAAGGGCACCACAGGCCTGTCATGGACACCACAGGCCTGCCAGGGGCACCACCGCCCTTGCAGGGGCGCCTCAGGCCTGTCAGGGGCACCACGTGCCTACCGGGGACACTTCAGGCTTGTCAGGGGCGTTACAGTCCTGTCAGGGCCCAGGGGCACCAGGCCCGTGGTGTCCCTGCTAGGCCTGTGGTGCCCCTGGCGGTCCTGTGGTGCCCCTGTCAGGACTGTGATACCCCTGATAGGCCGGTGGTGCCCCTGGCAGGTCTTTGGGCCCCCGGGCCTCAAGGGGGGGCCATGACCCATGTGACCCCCCCCCCCTTGGATCCGCCCCTGTCTCTGACCTTGTTTCAGGATGGCGGCAGTGCTCTAGAAGACAACTCCGCCAATCTCCACGTCCAGCGAGCGCCCTGTGTTAGTGTGTGAGAGTGTGTCGCGATGGCGGCGGGCAGGAACCCCGTGGACCGATGGCGACCGAACCCGCGAGCGGCGCCTTACGTACCGCGGCGACAGCTCTCGGCCGTGACGGCAGCGGCGGCGGTGCTGCCCGGACTGCCGGTCACACGACGACGGCTCTGCTCTCGGCTCTGTCAGGTGAGACTGTGAGAGACGTGCCCGAGCTTACAGCTGGGTCAGGTAAGGGACACCCCCGGATGTGTCTGGTGAGAGACATCCTTTATCTGTCGGATCCGTCACGTGCAGAGACTAACCATGCTCCCGGCTCTGTCCGATGACAAACCGACCCTTGCCTTCGGACTGAGTCGGGTTTCAAGTGAGAAACGAACTCAAGTCCGGGCCGTGCCAGACGAGACAGACCCACAAGCTGACCAATAATGCCGATTACGATCATCATACCTGCCTATACTTGCCTTCTAAATCCTTTCTTGCACTGTGCAACTCATTGTGGTAGGTGCTGGCCACACCCGCATATCGCTTTTCAGCCGAGAACAATGCACGTTTCAACACTAGCTATTCATGCTTACACCTATCACTAATTAGTTATTCTTTCCCGACCAGCTCGCTCCACCCCTTCTATTAAGCGCAGGATTTTTTGATAGCCACGTTAGCACTCTTTAATCAAAGCACATCGCTGATGGGTGGGACCCCACGACCCTCTGTTTTCATCGTGCGAGATCTGATTTTGCTGAGATGAGATTGTTTCACCCCCATAACTCAGCGTTGGATGCATATGCCGACTAGATATGAAAGCGGTGACGCCGCGGCGGGGGGCCGTTTAATTAAACCATCTCTGTTGGCGACTGGGACGATGTTTTCTACGGAGACCCGAGAAAGACGATGTAGAATTGTAGGCAGAGGCTGCAGCTGGGATCTCAGGGTGTGAAACAGTGCTCAACTTTAGAGCACAGGACTGGAGCTAAATGATTTTCAAGGAGAAACGGACGAAGGGTGAAAGACGGCGTGCTAAAGCAGAAAGATGCGGATGAATGTGGTTGGTCGATGTAGCAGATATATACTGCATCCAAGTTTTCATTGGGAAAATTGTGTCCTCGTGAGTGCGAAAGCTGCACCTGGGCCCCCGAGTACAGATGATGCCTTCAGCACTAGCCGCGACTTTGTGACACATTTTTAACTGCCAGTAGTTCATGAAGGCGCTACTCGTGCAGCTGGGGTGCCTGGGCAGTGGGCAGTGGGCACTGCAACGCTCGGCAATAAAACAGGCGACGGCACAACTGGATACTGTCATTGCATACAACAGACTAACATTCAATAAGTGTGTTGTTCAATCTACGGTCGCCTGTTTCAATGCTTTGTATTTAATTACCTTTTTTAATAACGTGTCTTCTTCTTGACAAGGCTGCCTAAACTCAATACTCAATAGTTAACTACACTTTTTAACTCACATCTGGCAGCGTCCATATCATATTGAAAATACCGAAGTACCATCTCCACAGTAACCTGCTCAAGCCCCGCGGTATGCGGCTCCCTCGATGCCTCTGCGTTACGATGACGCTCCGCCTTATCACCCGACATGCCGGTGGCATCAGGCCGACACGGTTCTGACATCAGACCTTCCCGTCCCGAGGGAAGACGGGTATCGTCTCCGGAGTCGGCCCCGCTCAGTGAGTGGACCCAGGCCAGCCGACGGACGGCCTCCAGCACCCAGCTGGCAGTAGCCCCGGCGTGACACCGGTCATCGTTGGACGTCTGATGACGTCACTGACGGAATAATGACGTCATGGATGGTCAGTGACGTTACGGGCTCAAAGCTGAATGCCGATTGCCAGTGGATTGTAAAGCCAGCCGGTGCCAGGTGTGTGCTGGCCCCGTGACGCCATTCATTCCTTACACACAATGGGCGGACGCGCACACAGAAGGTCCTCCCTCGGACCGGCAGCGGTGACCTTGCCCGGGGCTGTGGACCGACGGCGGACCGTGGCGGCGGCGCTGGGGAAGGTGAAAGTATCGCCGCCCGCCCCTGTACGACGGGTGTCGGCTGGCCGACCGGCAGACTGCCGACTGCCGCGCCGCGAGGAGCGGGGCGGCACCGGATGGGGGCCGGCTGTGGTTTGAGGAGTCAGTCGTCGCCTAGGGGAGGTGTGGGTGGAGCTGGTCGTTACGGTAACTGATGTGTGACGGCCACTGCTCCCGTCTCTGATATGGGAATCGGTCGTACCCGCGCCCGTCTCCGCTGTGTATTCCTTCCGCGCTGCTCCAGTGGCAGTTTGAGCCAGTGTTCCCGTCACCTCTCGCTGATCCAAACAATGCCACCGGCGCCGCACCGCGGGATGGATCTGCAGCCCAAACACAGTTCGGCTCAGCACACAGCTCAGCAGCTCAGCTCAGCAGCTCAACCGGGGCTAATCTGCGCTCAGCTGAGCTCAAATATCGGCTCAACTGGGCTCAAATATCGGCCAGCTCAGCACCACCGTAGGTGGCGAGGTGGAGTGAACCGTACACAATTGATAGCTTTTGTCTAGTCTGCTTATGCATGGATGATTCAGATTGCGGCTTAGGTAGGACATTGGCCTCTTTGGTTTATGACAATGAAGCATAGTTGGTTAACTTTTGCGGTGACCTCTGGTCCATTGTCAAAGCAATGCGTTCCAAACGTTTTTTACTAACAAGTTAAGCCCGTTCTGCAACTGTTTTACATATTGTTAGGGGCGATGGACTTTGATTGTCGAATACATATATTATCCCTTTTATGCCATCGTGCATTCTTGTGCCAGGATGGTCTTGACTATAGGTTGTCTTGGAGCTGATAACCCTGGAGCTGATATGCCTTTGATAGCTCGCATTTCATCTGCATGTGCGCACTGCGAGAGCTGTAAGAGCTCCGGCAGCACTTACGCACTGAGACAACTCACCGCCTGTCGACACGGGGCGGCTCCTGAGGGACGCTCTAAGGGGCGTCGCTCAGCGCCCTGTCTACCGGTCTGGCTCGGCGCCCACACCCCCGGCGCCCCTCTGTGGGGGGGGGGGGGGCAGTCGGCACCCCTCTCCTCCCGCCTGCACAGCCCTGCCCGCGCTCTGCAGGCTGCCGCTACTGGAGTACAAATTGTGGGCAATCTGGAGCTGTCCCCGTCCCCGCTACCAGCCTGCCGACCGCCGCTCCTTTGGAGAGACACTGATGTCACCGGCAGTCCCCACGTTACGGTGATGTCACACATCAGTTTTCTGTTTAATCCCGCATGAAGGCCATGAGGTGACGTCACTGACACCTGACGTCATTGCCTACCCGTGACGTTATACTTTGATGTCGCATTGACATGACAATGATGGCAAAAGTTGTCGATGAGTTGGCTAAACGTCGGTCTTTAGAACGAAGCGACTCGTTACCCGGGTAAACGGGGGTTGTTAGGCTCAACGTGCCAACTTGGATCGTTTCGCCGTTTATGTAGAGTCCAGGTGGCTTCAGTCGCTTGGCTGAAGTAAATATAACAGTTGCTCTAAACGAGACAACTTTTAAGTGACGGCATTAGCGTGAGAAATACTATAGTGCTAAGTTGTCTGTAAATGTTTATCAACTTTTCAGCATATTTAAGTGATGTATTTGCTTCCAAAAACAAGCTGGGCTCGCACAGCTAATAATTTTTCATTTGTTAAGCGTTTAATGGCTTCCTTATTATCTACTTATTTCCTAACCTCGTCATAAATCAAGCACTAATTTACCAAACACTCGTAAATCTCGAAAACATTAATAAATCACATTATATAGTACACATAAACCCCTCACATAGCGCAAACACACAAGCACACATAACACACACAACTGCTCACACTGGCATTTCGGGGCGGTACCTAACACACACACCCGATAGCGGCAAGGACCAGCGGCGTTTGCCGCACTGATCCTGTATGCTCCAGTTGTTCCAGTGCGGCCGTGTTGGTCCGTTACTCCGTGCAGGGTCCGGCGGGACGGTATCTGTTATTGTGACGGCGCTATCGGTGACGACGGGGGGAGCTGGGGGGGATGGAGAGCGGCGCGGAGGTGAGCCGTGCGCGGAGACTGTTTGGATCGTCGCGGCATGGTCCCCAGAGACAGACCGGAAGACGGCGGAGCGACGGTGACGGTATATGTGCGGACGGCGCCGTGTGGGGCCGACTGATACACGACGCTGACGCACGGACACACAGAGCGGACGTACAAAATACACAGCTGACGCACACACACACAAACGGAGCGGTGTGTCCGGCGGTCCCGAACAGTCAGAGATAAGGCTGGAGTCGGTGACACGGCACTCACCACAAACGGAAGTGAGTCATCCGGCGGGCGGTGCGGTACAGGTGTGGTGGGATAGGTCTTGTTTGAAAGGAAATTGTGATGGCACCGCGTCTTCCGATACGTTAATCAGGACCGTAATGGTCTATATTGTATGTACAGTGACGCTGGTTTCGTTGACTTAAAATTGAGGATTTGTGGGCCGTCATTCTGCTGAACGTTCGCTTTAACCTTCCAACGCAAACCGTATCTCCTTGGACCTAGATGTATGGAACTGGCAATTGCACTTTAAGACACCATCATTTCTACAGTCGCGCCGTCCACGGTGGCTGGTGACCAGCGTGCCAAGGGACTTTTTCAGCTACATGTGCTCCTTTTCCTCCACACTGCTACCAGTTTCCTGTGAGGTAAAAATACGCTTATGCATCAAGCATGAAAGTTACGAAATGTCCAACCAGAAGCTGGACAGGTGCAAAGGAAATTGTAGGAAAATTCAACAACGTGCCTAATTGATACCCACAACGGGGGTTATTTGGCCTTCAATCGTACTGGCTGCTCCTGTGCGAAGGAATTGTTTTATTTCAAGAGTTTCATTGGAACCGATATGCGTGGTGTTTAGGTACTGGAAGCATTGTTCGGACTTCAGACCATGTGGTCTAATTCACCAGCTACATTATGTGCTAGTTTGGGTTGATATTGAAGTCGAGTGGACCAAGGAGCTGTAGTGTTGTAATTTTGAACCGCTTTACCTCGTGCATGCGGCGAACTCATCTCCAATGATATTGAACTATCGTAGCGCAGGAGTTGCTTGTCTTAAGTGTAAATATGCCTATGTCTGGTGACATGTCCTTTCAATTTCCAGAGGAGTTTGGTGCTGGTGTTCATCGTAACAATCTTCATCAACGTCGTGTACATCCTGGACGCCACGGGTCGGCTGTACCAGGCGGGTCACCGCTCCAAAGGGCTGCTCGGTAAGTCTACAGTCACGGCTCGGTTTGAACGTGCCGACCATCGCACCACGGGCGTAGGAACGTCATGAAAAGTGGGTGGGCCACCCTGTCAAGGGGCCTCCTTCTCCAGGGGGCCTTCTTTTTTCAGGGGCCTCCAACTTTCGCCTAGTCCTGCTGGCTGCTTTCAAATATGACCTCCAAATCTAGCTTCTGAGATCGGGCAGATGTACCCAGGGGCGTAACCGCTTAAGCGAACAGTGCGGAAAGTCCGCACCATTTTTAAAACTTATTCCCCCTCCGATTTTTTTAGAATCTATTTGCCGCAAACGGCGCATGAGTCATGACCCCTGAAAACCCTTACACAAATGTCTTCCTTGTTTCCCAGGTGCCCCCATTAGCTTCATAGGCGCCCTCTTTGGCATATAAGCGCCCTACGCACATATAGTCATCAGAGACATCCCTATATGTCCCACAGTCGCCCCGTTGTCGCATACAATGTGCGCTTACCATAGGCGTCTCTCTTTTATGGACGCTTGAAGGCGCCTCTCTTTGCCATGCCGGCGCCCCTGTTTCTTATGAATGCACCCCCATGGCATTGATCAATTGCAATTTGCAGACCTCTATTGCATGTGGACGCCCATATATGTAGGCCTCAGAGGCGCCCCTCTTTCACATTGAGGCGCCCCTATGGGCTTCATAGGCGCCCCTCTATTGCACGTAGGTGCCCTACTGTCTCAAAACCGCGCTCCCCTTTGGCATGTAGACGCCCATCTTTCGTACGGAGGAGCCGCTGTGGTTCTTAGAGACGGCATGGTGCTCCCAGACGCAGATGGGGCTCTCGGAGTCGACAGTGTGGGACCTTCAGTCGCTGATGGGTGCCCGCCAGATGTGGACCCTCGGAGACGCCGGTATGGGGCCCTCAGAGATGCCGGTATGTGGCCCTTAGAGACACCGGTGTGGAACCCTCAGATACTTCAGTGTGAAGCCCTTACAATTGCTGGTGTGGAGCTATGAATGCGCTGGCTTAAATCCCTCAGAGGCCGGTACATGGACATTACAGCTCAGTGAGAGCTTGTGTGGTGCCTTCAGTGGCCTTGTGGAGCCGTTAGACATCAACATGGTGCTCTCAGGAGCCGGTGAGTCCTCAGAGTCACCGGTGTGGGGCCTTCAGAGCTCCGAGATACTGGTGTGGGACCCTCAGAGGTGTAGGTGTGGGTCCTTCAGATGTACCTATAGAGCCTTGAGATGCACAGGTGTGGTGGCCCACAGAGGCGCCGGTGTGGGGCCCCCAGGGCCACCGATATAGGGCCCTAAGAGACACTAGTATGACCCTCAAAGGCGCTGCTGTGTGGCGCTCATAACACTTGGTGTGGAGCCATCACAGGCGGGTGGAGCCGTTAGAGACCGGAAAGGGCCCTTAGATGCCTACAAGGAGCCTTCAGAAGCCGCGCGGCGTGGCACCCTTATGGAGATAAGCGTGTCTACTTAGGAGCCCTCTTGAGGTGCTCTCATGAGCTCTGAGGGGCCCTACCGAGCCGAAATATGGCCACGGCCAGTTGCCGCCGCATGGCTCTTCGGACTATCATTCTCAGGGGCCTCATCTGCCTAGTTTGAATAGAAGGGCCTCTCAGACCATCAGTCTCATGGGCCTCCTCTGGCTAGTATAAATAGAAGGGCCTGTTAGACCATCAATCCTAGGGACCTCCTCTGGTTAGTATAAATAGAAGAGCCTCTCAGACCATTAATCTCAGGGGGCTCCTGTGGACAATATAAATAAAAGGGCCTCTCAGACCATCAGTCTCGGGGGTCTCCCTAGAAAAGTTTAAGTGTGGATGGATGGCCCCCTCAGATTCATTAGGAGTGGACCTATCTGACTATCAGTCTCAGGGGCCTCTTCTGACTAGTGTGGATAGAGGGCCCTCCCAGACCACCGATTTCAGGGGCCTCCAGTGGCCAGTTATATGAACAGAAGGGCCTCACAGCCATCAGCCTCGGGGGCCTCTTCTGACTGGTGTGAATATGAGGGCCTCTCATACCATCAGTCTCAGGGGCTCCTCTGCCTAGTGTGACTATAAGGGCTTCCCAGGCAATCAGTCTCAGGGGACTCTTCTGACTGGTGCCGGATTGAGGGACCTCCTAGACCGAAAGTTTTGGGGGTCTCCTGCCTGTGGCCAGTATGAATAGAAGGGCCTCTCAGTCCATCAGTCTCATGGGCCTCTTCTGCCTGGTGTGATTATAAGGGCCTCTCAGGTCATCAGTCTCAGGGGCCTCCTCTGACTAGTGTAGATGGATAGGCCTCCCAGACCATCAGTCTCAGGGGCCTCTTCTGACTATTGAGGATAGAGGGGCCTCCTCTGACTAGTGAGGGTAGGGGGCCTCGGCTAGACCGCCAGTGTCAGGGGCCTATTCTGACTAGTGTGGATGGAGGGGCCTCCCAGACCACCAGTCTCAGACCTCTGACTAGTGTGGATAGAGGGGCCTTCCAGACCGCCAGTGTCAGGGGCCTCCCCAGACCATTGTGGATATTGGGGCCTCCTCAGATCCACTAGGGCCTCTCAGGCCATCAGTCTCAGGGGATTCGACTGACAAGTATGAACAGAGGGCCTCCTTGGATCCATCACGGCCCCTTGGAGTCCGTGCGTGGGGATTCGTGGAACTTATTTTTACCGATTTTGTTTATTCTGGAAGGTGACGACGTCCTCTCAAATCGGGACGAGGGGCCTCGAGTAAAAAGTGGGTGGGCCAAAAGAAAACACATGGTTGGCCCCCCCACCTCGAAAAGTGGGTGGGCACTTGCCCACCTGGCCCCCCCTGTTCCTACGCCTATGCATCGCACTGATCAGAACCGAACACGGACACGGAACAGACAGGCTAGAGAGGTGGATAGATGTGGGAACATGGGCCGTGGGCTATATATCAAAGAGAGCGGCATGGAATTCCCTTCCTGGGAACTTCAGGACTAAACGAGATTGGAGCTGTGCATGAGCTTGGTATTAGAGACTGGCTATCCCATAAGCCCGGAATAGTCTGCCTTTGAGCCAGCAGTGGTCAAATGGCCGGCAAGCACCGGTGTCTCTTTGAGTTGTGGGATAGCTGTGCACGGGTAGCGGACCATGCCGCACATATCGTACATTGCACATTTCATAGATCAGGCTGATTGCAGTTTTCCTGGAGCCTGGAGTTCCGTACTTCGTGACCTCTGTGCTGCGTATCGTGATCCGGAAGCAATAAGCAGCTGCCACAGTAGCAGCCACAGTAGCAGTCGAATTTATCCTTTCTTTGACCATGACGGCGGGATCAGTTGGCCCGTTACTGTCGCGCTCTGCAGTCTTTGGAATAGAAAGACATGCCACTTTCTATTTCCTTTGTGGATCGTCTGGTTTGCTCACCCTATTTAAGTGTTAACCCGGCACCGCCTGGGCTATTTCCGTACCCACGACAGCCTGGGGGGGGTCGGATCCGACCCCCCCCCCTGTTATCTCGAGAACCAATGGTCGTATCGAGCCCCGCGAGGCGGCGTTCGAAAGGTCTCTACGAGACCTTCCCAAAGCACTCTTAAGATTTTAAGATTGAGGTCAACTTTCGGGTCAAGGTCAGGTCAAAGGTCAAATTCAGGGGTTTTGCATGATTAGGCTTACGGACAGCAGAATCGATAGCTGCTGCTCGAAACTCACCAAAAATGACCTCAAAGGCCTAGTGAAGGTACCATGTGCGTATAGGGGTCATACTAATTACGGGTCAAGGTCAGGTCAGGTCACGAAAGGTCACGGTTTTCAATTTCTGCTACATGGGCGTGCGACACATGTTTTATGGCTTATTTTTCACGCCGAATCCGATGGTAATGGTTATATGTGACCCCAAGTCACTGTGCTGGTGATAAGTGTGCATTGAAAGCATAAAAAATCGTTTATACCCTACATAACTAAAGGAGGGCTAAGAAAAAAAGTCAATTTTGCAACTTTTTATTTTTGACATAAAAATAGGGACGCAGCATTGAATCCAGAACCAATCACGGAGAGTCCTGTTTTCTGGCCACCGAGCGGAAAGTTGAATTTCACCGGCAGGTTTGAAGCGGCAGCTCCTAGCATACCAATGGCGGAAAAGGCTCTGTTCTTTCCATCCGAGCTAACTCTTCGTAAATATTGGAACAAGGAAATGGACTATTTTCGGGTCCTCGCCTTCGGAACTTTACGGTGAGCCGCCATCGGATTGATGTGTGTGGTGCCTTTGTGCAGAGCCAATACCGATAATTCGTAGAGGATCTGACGTGTTGACTCGATTGAGCGAAGTTATCGACCCTAGTAGTTCATGATTGGAACAAACCGATCCGATCCGGTCGTGTGATATGATGGAGTGAAGTCTGGATAGCACGAAGTGCCGAGTCAGCAGGAACCGGCCACTGATGAAGGTGACAGCTTCTGACGGGACTGGTGAGCGCTGTAAAACGGCCTGTCAGGCGGCGGTCGGCCCGGTCTTCTATAGTCTCTTAGGCTGAAAAGGATCGTCGGATAAAGAAAACAGCTGTCCTCTTACTGCCGGGAAGGACACATTTGTCCTCTGATTGGTGGAGCTGTCTTCTGATGCACTATCTTCTTTTATTGTAAACGTAACTGCCTTTGTGTGGCCGGACGGGAGACTTGTGCAATATGCACCGCTGTTTTTGACGGCCTTACCGGGTCGGGCCGGACGGGGTTGTCCTCTGACGGACATTCAGACAGGACGGGCGGACAGGACAGAGCTGAGACAGGACAGAGCTGTCCTCGGTGGGTCAGACGGACCGGACAGAGCTGTCCTCGTCCTGGCCGGGCCGGAACCCGGACCACCGTCCCGCCGTCCGCTCCGGAATGAGTGCTGAATGGGACTGGCTGGGCTGCTGCGCTGCCCGGCCCATTCATTGAGATCTCTTTTGACGGCGCCGGCCTCCATCTGGCTCTTTTGTGTCGGCCGCGAAAAGCCTGAGCGATGCGGATTTGGCGGCGCGCCTGACAGATGCGTCACATGTCAGCACGGCTGTCACGCGGTCGGCCGGACGTGGCGGAAGTTATGCCGTGTGTGACTGCACGTGCGCGCGTGGTATTTTGGGCCGTGACACGTTTGACGCATGTCTCAGCTGTCAGCCTGTGTAGCGCCAGCTCAGCTATTCTGCTGAATGGGTGGTGTGAATACGCGATCGCTGAGTATGAGTGACCTTTGGTATGTTATGCGTTGTGCGGTGACAGAGGTATTTGAAGATTTAACAATGCCGTAGTGCCTATCTTCATTTTATTTTGTCGTTCTAGACTCACCAATCACATGACAAATAACGGCTAAACACAAGCCTTTGGCGGTTGAAACACGGTATGTGTAACGGATCGCTGGACAGTCTTAGAATGTTGTGCGTTGAAACACAATACAAACTACGGGATGTGTTTGGTTTTAGTGCTGTTGATGAGTCGAAATGAACCGCTTTTGGAAGTTTGCAATAATATGTCACACGGCTACCCTTTTGTTTCAGGAGGTGGAGGAAGCAGCAGCGACGCGGAGCCGGTGGGCGCCGACCACCCGGCCGCCCGCGGCGCCAGCCTCCGCCTTCAGCAGAGTGTGGCCAAAACTCTCACCGTGGAGGCCTACTCGAGTCAGAGTCGCGCCGCTGTGATGGTCGACGGAGCGACGGTGAGTCATACAGTCGACACGTACACTGTAAACCAAATTGACAAGTCTTGTGTAATATAACCAATCATCTCTTGGTATGTTTACCAACTGATACTTTTCAAACAAGCCGTTGTCTGGTGCATTGCTTGTCAGATGACAACTACGAGTCAATAGTTACTATGCACACCAACTTCTCAGTATCCAGACCAACTCTACATTTGTTTCAACGTTTGTTTCTTAACCAGTTTTGGAAACTTGTTGCCGCATGGTTATTTAACCGGCGCCTAACTTGTACTGGTCAGCTGGTCAGCATACACATGGTCAGCTGCGCCCGTGACGTCAGACTTGGCGGACCAATCAGCGGTCGCCGTCCGGCCCCGGCGCGGCGGTTTCAAACCGTTCAAACCAGCAGTTGTCGCGCGGCCGCCGTGCAGCATGGATCAGCGACGAGGGCTGTTCCAGCATTTGTGCAGTAAAAAGTGAAATCTGTGAACTGTGGTGTTCGTGCTGTGAGTGAGGCCCGCTCTGGCCTGCGGGACGCACTAATCGTGCCTATACCCGCGGTCGAGACGCCTCCCTTCCCCTGCGCGCGCAATGTAAGTGGGCCAGACCTTTGCATGCACATGTGAGCAGATGTTTTGCGGTCGGTGTTTTTTATATATAAATACATTTATTTGCCTTTAATTCAACTCTTTGTATTTTTAACTTAACTGATGGACATATATGGGCTGTAAAAGCTAATCTGGTTGGCGAATGGCGATCATGCTTTATTCGAATTATCTGCGTGATCGTGCAACTGCCATGATTGTTATGGTCAATGTGGAAATATTCGTCATACGGGCATGTTATACTTCTGGCTTGATGCGATGCACAAAACCATGTTTTTCCACATACGCAGCAGTTCTTGCTTCAAAGACTTATATGCTGACGGTGCACGATAGGTATACCTTATACCTCATGCATTTACCACATCCATTCGAAAATATGCACTTGGAATTGTCTCCAGTCAATAGTATTAATTACATACTACGTGATGTAGGTACGTGACCGTAATAAATACTAATGATTCCAGAAACTTCCGAATGGATGTGGTGTATGCATTCATCGATTATATAACCCATCAGTATTTCGTTTCTTGTCAGCGCAAGCCTTTGAGCAATAACTGATGCCAGTCATGATTTTGTGCACCACTTCCAGCCAAAAAATGACCTGTCCGTATAGAAAATATTTCCTGAATCAGTATCGTGGCAATTGAAAACGAACGCGAATCGTAAGTTCTTAAGGTTATCAACGCAAACAAAGCGATTGTAAGGAAGAACAAGTTCGAACTGAGCGTTAGTACACTTACTTGTTGACAATTTGTAAACTAGCAATGCCCAGTCAAAGGCTAGTTCATCAACAAACCAGGGGTTGTTGAACCGACAAGGAAACGGCTATGCCTATCCAGAAGTTGGTAGGTTCACAAGGCCCAGACTAGTACTCAACAAGGTGACGCCTATGCGAATTGGAACCAAACTTGTAGACAAACTGTTAGTTTGTTGGCCAACACGCCTGGGGTTGGTGAATCGACAAGGTGACGCCTATGCGAATTGGAACCAAACTTGTAGACAAACTGTTAGTTTGTTGGCCAACAAGCCTGGGGCTGGTGAATCGACAAGGTGACGCCTATGCGAATTGGAACCAAACTTGTAGACAAACTGTTAGTTTGTTAGCCAACAAGCCTGGGGCTGGTGAATCGACAAGGTGACGCCTATGCGAATTGGAACCAAACTTGTAACAAGGAGCCAACTTGTAGATTTGGTTTACAGTGTATAGTCACTCTATACTCACAGGGCACCCTTACTGCACCCTTTTCCCTCTCAGCCTAACCTGCCGCCCACTGCCGACAGACCAGCACCCCGAACCACGGACCAGTCTTGTAAACATTTTTGTAGACCAGAGAGCCAGTCCATAGGACTGCCCTTACCGCACACACCAATCGACAGTGGTTGGGCCTGACCCCAGAGTCACCCCAGGAGTCGTCCTCTCTCCTCCCACTCAGATCGGTGTCACAACCAGACCAGGGGCCGGAAATTGAGGAGAGTCAGCGCGCTGAGCTGATCCCCCCGGTGACGTCATCTCATGTTTACACGGCTGCTGAGGTATAGGTACTGGGGATGGTGGTGGGGTGGAGGGGGTGGCTTGGTCACGGCACACACACGAGGCAGTGTGGTTCTGTTGTGATTTTGTCCAGTCATTCGACTCGAAACGTCACGTGGGCCGATGTCGATGACTGTGTGTAGCGTTTAGAGGTGTCAATCGGATACCAACTTTTTGGTATACCGATACCAAACCGGTACCAAGTTGGTATTTGGTATTTCAAGGTGAATGTATTTGGTATTTGGTTGGTATTATGAATCCTCTCTTATATGTATAAAAGAGCCTAAGAACGTGGTAAAATGTTGTATTTTTCCATGTGTATTGCTGGTATTTGGTTTGGTATCGGTATCACGATTTTCCGTAATTGACATCACTACATAGTAGCGTTCTAACGTAGTAGGTACACATGCTATGCTGCACTGGGCTCTTTAGTGACACCCTGCTGCGAACACAAGAGAGGTATATCTGACCTCATATTATATTTATGCTTCAGTCTACACCTATGAGAGGATCCTGGTGTTCGATATTCGGTCAGTCCCCAGCGCCTTGTATACGATACAAAAATATGACATATCCAGGTCCGTCTTATTACGAAAATATGGCATAGTTGTTAGGTAAGTTATCTGGGTTATGAGTTATGACTTATGGGCTGTGCCATATGATTTTTCTCACTACGCACATGTTCAACAATCAGTTGGAGTAGTCATATTTCCTATTGCGAAAGTTTCACAATATTGCCAACGGGAATTCTTATGAATGCGTGATTCTCTAGCCATCAGCGTACTTTTTGTAATTAAAATTGGACCTACAATCCCATAACTAAGGATTTCGAATTATGTATGCGACGATAACTTCTCCGACGATATCGTCGCAATGCGAAGAGATATAGAGAAGCGAAACCTTGGACACATATTTCATAATAGCTAGCCAAAATTTTGTCATATTTAATGTCGATCTCATTTTAAATGACGTCACAGTGACGTTAGAAGTCCATTTATAGATTTTCGTCGTGTTAGTTTCCTCACGATATTCCCGATGTGTGGGACCGAATGTAAAGGAGGAATCACTAGTCAGGAACTAAGTGAATGTGTACTTAGATGTCCGAATGACAGCAGATGTTTTTTTTTTTAGTTCATTTACCGTTGAGTTTCATGCTCAATGCTAACTGGGACGCTCCATAACGGAAAACGTCAAAACTTTATGGCGTCACTGTGATGTCATCTGAAGTGATACAACCACCAAACTTTCCTTAATTTGGCCTGGGTGTTCCTTTAAAGCTATATCAAGTTTCAAGTTCGTAGCTTAGGGGAAGCGGGGGGAACACCGCCACTGTGGGAAACACCGCCACCCCATCTGGCGGCGAAAGTATGAACTATAAAGTGTAAAAATCCGTTATTTCTTATTAACCGCACGAAGGTAAGCGTCTTCTGATTTGTGTTCCGGTGTTTCAGTGTAATCGAAGCTCATTGTGGGCATTTAACCCGCGCCCGGCTGGGGGTCCTGGATTTCCACGCCCTGCTGGGGGGGGGGGGGGTGTTTGAACACCCCCCCCCTTGTAACTCGGCTCCTGGGCCACGTAGCGATACGCGGAAGACGGCGTTCGAAAGAGCGTCAAAAATAATGACGAAATCACTTCGGTCAATTTTTTGGTCAGGTCAAAGGTCAGGTCACCAGAGGTCATTGAAGGCAAAATTTCGCCGATTTCCAGGTCGAATGTCGAAAATTTCCAAGAAGCCAACGCATAACTCGGGAACCAATAGAGCTACAGCGCCGCGGAAAAGCGCATTCGATAGCCCTATTAACGCCCTTTCTGAGTAATTCTCTCAGATTTGACCTAACGTCAACGGTTTTGCCTGCAGGGGGCAAAAACTACAAAAATAGCCGATTTTTTTTTCGGAAACGGTTTTTCTGCAATAACTTTTGACCCAAGCCTTGTACGAGCTTACTTTCACCGGCATCGTATTCCTCTCGTCAAGACGCATCGAACGAACTATAACTTGACCTTGAAAGGTCAACTTGAAAATTTGACCTCAGGTCAAGGTCATGACCTGACCGGAAAGGGTCATGTTGCATATCAGTCGATCCGTATCGTCGAGCTGAACACATCTAAGGCGTTTTCATCGCTCTAGCATGCCTCTATCAAAAGTTATTTGCGAAAAACTGTTAGATACAATTCGTGACCTAAGATGACCTCAGGGCATAAACAAGGGTCACGGACACCATTTTCATGTTCAGTGTATCTAAACCACTTGTAATTCGGTGTTTGGGAGTGTTTATGATGTCTTTCATCCCAAAGAGGCGCATTTCAATTTTCTCCCATTGACTTATAATGGGGAGGTCGCAAAATTGACCTGACCTTAGGTCATAGATATCAAAATTCTGAGATATACATTTTGTACATGCTATTGCTCTTAGCAATCGCTGAAAGTTTTAAAGCGATCAGTCACTCGGTGTAGCTATGACAGACATTGAAACTTTTTATGAGGTGAGGTCACTTCAAGTGACCTGGTGACCTGACCTTGAATGACCTTGGTCTGAAATTTTCACAACATGTGTAGAATTGATGTATGATAAGGTGTACCAAAAACGGCGGCGCTCCGCGCCGCCGTTTTTGAGATATTCGCGAAAAACCACAAGGGGGGGTGTTCAAACACCCCCCCCCCAGCAGGGCGCGGGTTAAAGAAAAATGCACATTCTCTTATAAAAATTCGATGAGTTGGGAGCACTTTTGAATGTCTTTAAGTAGAGACTCATTTTGATTTACTTGATTGCATCGAAAAATAACTGATCGGCTTTGTCCAGTAAGATAGGTTTGCTTGAACCGTGTAGTACATTCTTGCCGCTGGCGATTTTTGCTTGTGATCACTTATTGGGGAACACCGCCACCCCGTGGCGGTGTTACCCCAATTGAGGTTGCGGTGTTTCCTGTTCGTAGCGTGATAAGTGATGAAATTCCAAAGACACGCTTTATTTATGTTCGTAGATGTTCCTAAGTCGGGAATAAGCAGCTTATTTGACTTTTTACTTTATATTTTTCATGCATCCCGACCAAGCACTTGCCAGCTGTATAAAACTGGCAAACAGCTGATGAACCTACATATACCTATCAGACATGTGCATGGATCCAAGTGATGGATCTATGATCTCAGTGGATCTCGAAGCAAAGTGCAGGTTGGGATCTATGATCCCACCGGATCCGGCGTGAAAAATACATCTTGGATCTATGATCTTATATGATCTGACGATAAATTAAGAACATGGATCTATGATCTGAGTGGATCCCACCATGCACCACATTTGAAACCATGTTTGAAAGGGTTTCTATGCCAATAAGTGACACAAAACCATGTCGATTATGACGTGTTATCACATAAAATCACTAAAACAGAACGTTTGTGAGTTGAAACAAGTGCTTTCGTGGGATATATGTGTTGACAAAAAATAAGTGAGGATCTATGATCCCACTGGATCTCAAGCAAAAATGAGACTCGGATCTGTGATCCCTACGGATCTCTCGATAAATTACAGAGCTGGATCTATGATCCCGTCGGATCCGAGATCAGGATCCGTGGGATCAGATCCCAGATCTATTTTCTCGGATCCATGCACATGTCTGATACCTATTTAGGTGTCCATTACCGATTATTTGCGAAAATTACCACTTACCGACAGGAAACTCATCGCACGCGATCTCTGAACAATTAAAAGCTTTCGTAGAGGGATGGGTTGGGTTAACATCAACACCGGTGGCGGGGTTACCCACACAATTTGTAGGCGGCAAATATGCAAGGTATTTTTAAAAGTCGTGATACATGAAAACCTTTTAGGAGCATGCAAAATAAGTACCTAAAACACGTGAGCAAATGTTTAAATATTGTAACCAAGACAATAACTACCAAGAGACTTCACACATATTCTCTCATTTTGGCGAAAAGCTTAGGGGGGCGGTGTTACCCCCGCTTCCCCTATCAGGTTTGGAAGAAATCGCACAAAACGTAGGGGGGGGGGGCAGCTTCATGCCCACCCCCAGCGGCTCGTGGGTTGATACTCAATCCATTTGCCTACTGTAAGTGGGTTTTGTATTATGCTTTTTAAAACACTGATGTTTGATGTTCACTCATACGATTCACTCACTCATACTTTGGTACGATTTTTACATATTATTGAATGAAACTCACTGACACATTAATCATCGGTACGACGGACTGAACTCGCCCAATACTCTGATCCGTCTGACAACCCAGGATTCTCCGTAGCGCCGAAATTGGATATACCTGTCTGAATTCCAGCTAGCGCGAGCACATTTGTTTTCATCTCGACTGACTGACCGCAGTAAGAGATCTGAGAATTTCCGCTTTTTAAACATCTTGTCCTGTGCAGTTCCGCGCTTTACATAACGCTTATAAGTTATAACGCTGGTTACAGTTGTCAACAGGCTGTCACATGAGTTAGATGTGCTGTCGAATTTCGCTTGAGTCGCGGTTATTTTGTCGGTCGCAGTGATGCCATGAGAAGCCAGTTGCGATGCTGCAGCTGCCAGATTGCCTCGATAGATGTCGCTAGTAGTTTACGCCTGAAGTTATGCTGTGCCGCTGAGCCTGGCGTGGCGCAAACTACCGATGCGTTTATAAAAAGAATGCAAAAGGGGCGGGAGGCGGACTGCAAAGCCGTTAGGTGACTCTGACTTAACAGATATTTAACTATGATATATTTCGTCAGATGCATAGTGCTGTTTTTACATTGATGGTTAATTTATTGTTTATATTTTTAGCGACGTTCGGGAGTCCCGTCCTATAATGAAGATAGATAGGTATTTATAAACGTCACGAAACTCTTATTTTGGATTTGTGTCAATTGCCATCTATTTATATTTTAAAAGTTAGATAGAGTCATATTTTTTAATTCAGATAAAGATAGATGAAGTTAAAGTTAGATAAAGTTAGATAAAAATTTGATTAGAAAGTTAGATAGAAAGTTAGATAAACTGAAAAAGTACGCAGCCAAACGGAGAAGCAATGAGTGCGCCGTGCCATAGCTGTGTGCAGTGACGCTGGACCACCATGCGGATCAATATGTGGTCTGTTCGGTTCGATCACTCAGTGTGTGCCGTTGTCCATTAGTGCGGCGTAGTGACCCTCCTCCCAGGGGATCAGCCTCAGCCGCTGGAGTAGCGGTGCGACCGAGCTTCAGTGACAGGCAATCCAGCGGCGCCCTTCTCGGTTCACCCCAGTCAGAATCATAGCCGTAGCATGAATCAATGTTGACACCATGGGTTTACGGTAGAACGTTTTCTTCCTTATAGATTATTTTGGGAATGGCAGCTCCATCTTAGGAACTTGTCGTACGCCGACCACATTACAGCAACCCAATGTGGACACAGAGCACGGCTCTACATCCGGTGCCCATTTATATAACACATTCCGGCGCCCGTGTATTTAACATTTTACTTTTTAGTTTGTGTTTATGACTTCCGGACAGTCAATTAGTTGAAAGCGTTCTTGAGAACGTGGTGCCCTTGATATCGTGCGGCTTAACCCTCGCCCGCACATGCCATTTTCCCATCCTAGAACGCACATGGGGGGGGGGGTGGTTGCCACCCCCCCCCCCGCGCCATTTCGTTCCTGTTGGAGATAGAGCTTAGCAGTAAAGACCAAAAAGATTCTTTGGGAAGAGACGAATCCAATGATACCCAGTTTTACCTTCTCAGGTCAGTCATTGACCTTCCAGGTCAGGTCAAACTAAAAAATGTTGCTGTTTTGGGTCACCGTGGGATATCAAGTGCGCTGCTTATCAAATACCGATGACGATGCTGTTTTCTGGTGCCAAGCCAGCTAGAACCTCTTTGTCACACTATCCGACCAGAATTTTGCTGCTGAGGTCATTTCAGGTCAAGTTAGGTCAAGGTCAATTATATGTGTTTGTATGTCTGTGTGTGTCTGTATGTATACTGATGTTCGCACCGATTGTTTTTGGGTCCATATCACATGAAATCATGATCTGAGAAGCTTTTACCAAAAATGCAGTCAAAAAACTTCACAAAAAGTAAATTCAGCTTGCCTAAAATGCAATTATCTTAGATGACCTAGGTTGACCTTGACCCTGACCTTGACCCCTGTACATCGTCGAACAACATGTTCCATGATAGGTGGGAGGTAAGACTGGCAAAAAAGGCCGAAATCAGGGTGTCAAAAGCTCACAAGGCCCATGGCAAACGCAAGATGTTGAGAATTGGCCATTTGGGTCATGACATGACCTGAAAAACAAGGTCATATCTCCGAAACAAAAAATCACAGAAACTTGAAATTTTCAGTGGACATCAAGAAAGGATAGACGAGCAGCTATACGAAAAATCAGCCTTCTAGCTCTAAAAATGTGGAGTGCAGAGCAGAAAGACTGCCTGGGGGGTGGCAACCACCCCCCCCCCCCCCATGTGCGGGCGAGGGTTAAACGGAGACAAAACTTGTAGATGAAAGGGAAGTCATACATGAGCTTGTGGATGACGTATTCGAAATTCAATTTGGAGTCATTGTTTGTACAGCTACTGCAATTTAGCTTCGATCAATGCATGCAAACTCCAACACAGTGGATAAGACGTCATTTCCAATACGGATACAGCTTGGTCAAATTTGTCAGCAACCCTATTGGTTTTCGCCTCATTGTTGTTCGGTAGAGTCAATGAATGTGCACACTGGTCCCAATCGACACATTCAGTAACAATGTCTCGCCGGACAATGTCCCGCCCGACGGCCTCTGTGGGGGGGGGGGGGGAGGACTTGCGTCACCAGTCTGATGACCTGGCTATGGTCAGCGGCTGGCCATTGTTGAGGCATGTCTTGGACGCCGCCCTCTCGGTCCACACAATTGTCCTCTCCTCCTCCCCTCCCCTCCCACCTCTGACGGGGGTTCGCGGGAGCAGACGAGTGCAAATAAATCGCTCCCTGTCGTCACCCCGCGCAGCTGCTGTCTGGGCGGCTGTGCACAGGACCGGTGCAATCTGGCGCCACTGCTGACCGCTCGGAATGTCGGCCGGGGGCTCTGCGAGACGGTCAAATGGTCCAGGCGGCAGCCGGCGGGTCGCGATCGGGTCCTCTCGCAGGGTTATCCCTTGTGGTCCATGAACCCTGCTTTTGAGATGCTGCAGTCTGGACGAATTTCGAACGATGATTCTGAACGAAGTCTCAGAAAAAGCCGGAATACGTGACATGGTCTACATTGTCAAACACATTTTGAAGAAATGAAATCTGTGCATATCTGTATAGTGTATACCTATTTGAAGTGCATGGTACCGGTTACTTTGTTTGTAATGTAGGTATAATGTTGTTTTTTTTAAGAAAGGAGGTAATCCCAAATGTCCGTATCTCCCTCACACCAGTACCAGTCTCTTTCATCCATTTGCGACTCTCCCAGTGCAGCCCCTGAGTGTGTTGTGTTCCTCACCACCAGATCCTGGAGAGTAACGGCGAGCGGGAGGGGCGCGGCATCCACGTGCTGGTGCTTCACCAGGCCAGCGGCGCCGTGCTGGCCCAGCGGCTGTTCGACACCTACTCGCCGCACGAGGACGAGGCGCTCACACTCTTCATCAGCTTGGTCACCGAGGGGCGCATCATCGTCTTCCTCATCAAGGTAAGACTGATGGCAGTGTTGCAGTTTCAGTTGGACCTGTTTCCACTATTCAGCAGACGCATTCTCGTTGGACGGCGATCTCTTCCCTCCAATCACGGTGTTGTCACTCCCCTGGTCAGAGACCCCTCTGGCTGCTGGTCAGGCGGAGTGTCGTCAGTCGTCTCTCCCCTGGTCAGAGGCCCCTCTGGCTGCTGGTCAGGTGGAGTGTCGTCACTCCCCTGGTCAGAGACCCCTCTGGCCGTTGGGCAGCTGCCAGGAGCAGTAACGAGCTGGCCACCGCGGCTGGACGGATCTGTATGCGTCGCTGGACAGATCTGTATGCGCCAGCCGGAGATAATCTGGCCACGGCGACCAGGCGGCGCCTCCTTCTCACACCGCGGCGGCCACTAATGAGCAACGCTCAGAGGGGCAGGAGGGCCGCTCAGCGGGCAATAGCATAGGACTGCCCAGGGCCGCAACAGCACTGCTCAGTCCGCAGGGCAACCGCTGCGCAGTTCCGCTCAGCGGGATTGTAGGGCCGCTCAGCGGAGCAGAAGCGCCGGCTTAGCGGGTCTGTGGGACCGATAGATGGGGCTGATTTTACAAATAAGTTCTGTTTTGCGTATTGCATGTAGAGATGTGATTTTTTCTGCATGATTTGTGACACCATCTAGCAAATGTTGGATGGATGGCCATTACCCATATAAGTCGCTAAAAACATTATACAGACAGCACCAACCGGCAACCTTCTTTTCATTCATCCGAGCCGAGCTGCCATTTCTTTCTTTATGACATCATGAAAAACGTTATTCGATACACAATGTCGTATCAAATTTTATCTCAGCTCTTACAAAAGACCATGTAATAAAGTTTGACATTTGTGTCCGAAAGTGGTCCACTGAACCACACACAGTATAGTAAACTTTTACAACTGACCGTAGGGAGAAACATCAAACGATGAACATATTGGTTTTGTAACGGTCCTATAAATAGTGCAAGAGGATGATACGAGCCAACTAATTTTCGTCACATCAATTCTTGAGTAGAGTGATTGTCGATCTTGTTGAGCTGATCTTGTTGTGCCCATGGAACTTTTAGACGATACATTGAATGGCAGAAATGCTTATAGTAGCATTTAGATATCAGATAAAATCATATACAATATCTCCTGGAAGTATACTCGTCAGACATGACGCAATGAACGTTTGTTCGAGTATTTGTCATGCCATTTTTTTGTGATAACCCCGTTGCGCGTATCCCCTCGGACAGGACGAGGGCACCTTCCAACTGAAGAAGCCGGCGCGCGCGCTGCTGACCCGCCTGGGCTCTCAGAAGGCCGACCTGCTCGGCTGGCGAGACATGTGGGCCATGGTGGCGCAGAAGGGCGGCAAACTGCTGGCGGAGGGCCACAGCAAGAGTCCCAGCTTCAACACGTGGGGCTCGGCGGTACAGCTGCGGACGGAGGTGCCGCTCGTGCCCCTAGAGGGTGAGTCGGAGTCGCAGTGGGTTATCGTGGATGTGTTGGAATGTTGACATTTATGTCGTCAGCGTTGATGACAGACGTGCTAGTTTTGGTAAGCTCGTGAGCGCGAGTCTGTTATTAGGCACAGAGTTGCCCTCTGCTTTTCAAGGACGATTTTGATCGTTTTTTTCATGGGAATATCACTGCTCTAATTATGTCGCTACATGAAATACGATCTTTCATGATTATTCAGTTGGCTGCATCACTGCGCAGTAGACATTGCAACCCTTGTGACCCTTCCTTTTGGGAAACTACTTTATCGGGCCTGCAGAGATGTCATGGTACACAGCTCACAAACATTTATGGCACGGACTAACCCGGAGAGCTTAGATTCATTAATTGTATAAACATTTTCTCTCGCGCTGACATGTGGACCTCGCCTGCCGAGAGGCTGCGACGCTGCATGATATACGGCCGAGGTTGTGCATTTTGTAGGCGCCATCAATTGGCTTCATGTCTCTCGGAGCTATGTCCGTTTAAGATCAACTGCATTACTAACTCAGTTATATATCTTGTTCCCGCGAGTGTGATGTGATGCACGATATTTACTATAGGTATAGCTATAACTTATGGGAAGCAGATTCGTAAACTTTGAGTCTTTGTCTCTCTTTTATTTGCGATATATACCTTTTCATGCTGCCTCGCTATAATGCCGATTTAGGAGGCACGCTTGTCGTTTCTCCCTCAGACACCTAGTGTCCTTGGCTAAGAATGGATTCCTAGTACCTACCTACCAGAAATAACTCTCTAAAGAACCCTCTCGTCTCTCCCTGAGGCACGCAGTCCCCGTAACTGAGGCTGAGCTCCTAACCAGAAATAATTCCCCCTCTTCTCTCTCCCGCAGACACCCAGTGTCCGTGGCCCGACACGGAGGAGACAGTGCGCCGCCGCCAGTTCTGTGACACCACCGAGGGCTACGGCAGCGTGTGCTCGTGCTCCGATCCGGCGCCCCTGCAGTACGACGGGCCGCCCATCAAGGACGGGCCAGTGGCTGGAGTGCCCGTCCTAGTCATCGCTAGTAACCGGCCCCACTACCTCTACAGGTGGGTGACGGGACTTGACGAAAGGTTGTGTCGACCGGCCGGTGTAAGGCCGAAGCCTTGGCATCAGCTGCATAGTTTATTACGACTCTAATTATGTCGCTACATGAAATACGACATCATACCAACGTTTACCCTTGTGACTTCATTGGGTACCGCGGTGGCGGTTGATACTGTAGACCAAGCTGCAGACTAAAGTAGACAATTTCCACCGAATATGTAATCCCCACGGAGATGTCGAGGAACTTTCCCAAGTCCCTACAGCTACGAACCTTGTTTTTCATACTCAAAGTGTTCACAAGCACACGTCTATTTCTGAAATCAAAACACAACAAATGCCGACCAGAATACTGTTGTAGTCACTTTTATTGGCAAGCCAAACATATTTAGGTAATTTACCGCTTACTGCTGTATATATCTGTTTGGTTGGTCTACAGCATAAATAAGTGCCAAATAGAATGCTGCGCAATAGCCACTTTTTACGACTAGCTAAAAAGGGTAATTTACCGCTTACAGCTGCACATACAAATTACAATACATACATCAGTTTGTTCCACATCATAAATCAGTGATATTACCTGCAGTGATCAAAGCTGTCATTTGCCGGTGACAAGTGACTGGGTGAGAACTGAGAACCCACAGCTGTGTTTCGATCTGAAACAGTGAACGCTAACCCTTAACCAATGAGCTGTAAGTGACTGATGGCGGTGGGCACAGTTTGTTGCTTCGGTTCGGGAAGTTCCCCATCGCTCAGCAAGTTTTGGATTTATTCGCCGATCAACTGTGCTTAGCCGTGACAGAGTGGCCTATTAAAATCTCCGCTACTGCTGCTCTGGTCTCTTTATTGGTCGTCCAGTGGTTTGGGGCTGGCTGACGACCGTGCGGGACAGCTATGGGAAGTAACCTTTGCGTGGTATGGACAGGGGTGATACACGTCACCTGTGACGTGACGTGACTCAGTGACGTCCGGCTGGGTCACGTCACCGAGTGTTGAATGTCAACTGACGGCCGGTAAATCACCCCGAGACCACGCCATCGCGATTCCAAACGCTCCAAAACATGCAGCTTGACTCCCATGGGTCGTTTCGAAAATATGTTAACAAAACCCGACCGGTTGAACTTCTCGCACTCCGCTCTGTTTGGTCTCTGTGGAACTCGCCTGGCCGGCCGATAGATATTCCTTTTGGTAACTCCCTCAGCCCCGTCTGACCCCATCTGATCGTTCTCTACTCCCTCAGGTCGCTGCGCTCGCTGCTGTCGGCACCCGGGGCGGATCCCACCATGGTGACCGTCTTCATTGACGGCTACTTTGACGAACCTCTGAAGGTGGCACGTCTGTTTGGCCTGCGAGGCATCCAGCACACACCGATCGCCACTCGCAGCGCGCGTGTCAGCCAACACTATAAGGTAGACGCCTGTGCCTGGTGACTAATCCTGAATCCACCCACTACAAATCAACCCATGAGGGTTGACCACCTAATTTTATCCAACCGTAAATATTTACCACGCGAGTTACAGAGATATCTCAAAACCGGGTATGGCAGGTATTTAATCATTCCGGTGAGCTCATTTCGTCTCGTGTTGACATTTGCCAGATAAGAGGCATTTTACATCTAAACTACCCGTGTTAACGTGTGTATGTCGGCTGGGATCGGGGGCCGGCCGAGGCTCGCGAGGCTCGTGGCCAGAGTGTCGGCCCCTTTGGTTGGTCCCGCGGGCGGCGGGCCTATCTATATCTGGCTGCTGATGGGGTTAGAGACGGCACAGGGGAAAAGGACGGCTCGCTGCTACCGCGTCTAACTAGCCCCTGGGCAGTGGGCAGTGACCGCAATCACAGCTGCTCCCGGAATAGATGATTTGGCATAGTCGTGCAGCCAGACAGAGATACAGACTGTTGGATCGATAGACATACAAGGCGGACAGACACAGGCAAAGACAGACAGACCCGATTCGACCCTATCCGAGCCAACCTGACCCGATCCAGACCTGACCCGACCCGACACGACTTGACTCGACATGGCCCTACATAACTTGACGTGCCATAATTCCACATGACGCAACCTCACCCGACCTAACCCAACCTTACTCAATCTGACCCAACCCGACACATCGTCACACAGACCGTGGTGCATCTCCTAACTCAAGCTCCTGCCAACAGGCGGCGCTGACGTCCACCTTCAACCTGTACCCGTCGGCGAGGTACGCTATCCTCATTGAGGAGGATCTGGACGTGTCGCCCGACTTCTACAGCTTCTTCAACCAGACGCTGCACTTGCTGGACGAGGACCGGTCGCTGTTCTGCGTCTCCGCCTGGAACGATCAGGGATACGAACATACCGCCGAGGTAAGCAAAATATTTTACATAGCTAAGGGGGTGATTGGGAATGCCTGGTGAGCGCTGCCAATCACAAGCACTGATTAGCTGAGCAGTTGTTTCTATGGTGACCAACACAAGCTGAAGCCATGAGCTGTAATGATGACTGTTCAGCTGCGGTATTGATTTGTATCTACGCGGTCGGAGTGGCCATTTCTGGCCGTTCCTGGTCGGGACTGATCGCCCCTGATGGGATCAGGTCATCCCTGGTCGTGGCGCCGGTCCTTTTAGAGTGTCAGAACGCGTTTAATTGCCGTATATCCCGGCGCCACACTGCACGGCCGACCCCGTCTACCACTTTACGAGCGCGTCTGGCGAGCTATCGGCTCCGAGTTGCCATTAATTCTGGCTGGACATGAGGTCACTCGGTGGGCCGTCAGACCAAAATCACCGCAAGGCTGGACTGTGACCCTGGCCATACCCCCGTTACGTGGCCGGCGAGCCTCAGTTTGGCAGTGGAGCAGTCGCCGGTGATGGCGACATCTGCACAGACTCATATGTGGCTGCGATCGCATTCAGTGCACCGGTCAATGGAAGAATGGATAAGGAGAACATCTTTCCTTTCTGAGGAGCTCGTAGATGGGGATATATTTCGCAAGGATATATAGGGATACTTCATCTCACACTAAAGGGTTGCTGACAGGCAGACTCGGGACAGAGGGAGAGGAGATACCTCACTTTCTCGAGGGATAAAGACGGCACATACATATGAGCCTACCCAGGCGCCTACCCACCTCTGGGGATATGTGGCACAAAGGTGGGTAAGAGACGCCCTATCTACCCGTGTGGTAGAAGCAGGGAGACGTGGCGCCATGAAAGAGACCATAGACATTAGACACGGCGCCGGACCGTCGCGACGCATCGGCAGCTCCTGGCACGGCCAATTTGGCCTGTCTAGATGGGGCGTAGGAATGTAAACAAGCAATGAGTCTGCGGATCGAGGCCTGCTGGCCTGCTTTGCATTAATTCGTCTGGGGCGCATACCGTCCCGGGTGGGCCGTTTACCTCCCGAGGCCACGCTCAAGAATTGCTCCCTAGAGATTAGCTAGAGTAATGGACCACACGGGAGCCGCTTTAGTTTCAACGGTGTATGAGCGACTTATTGAGGGGAAGGGTTACCCATGGGGTCACAGTCGCTTCAGCGGGAACGGTAGCGACGTCAGGAGACTGAGGTGTCCTGGGGTGACCCGTGAAGTTGGAGCGACTGTGTGTTGCTGAAGGCGATATCCGCAAGGCTATCATTGTAGCGTATTAAAGCAGTCGTGTACCCATGTCTAACTGTTTTCGCACCTGATTTCGTCTGACCGTACCCCTTTCTCTGCTTTTTCAGGACGTCAGTCAGCTGTACCGTGTGGAGACGATGCCCGGTCTCGGCTGGGCGCTCAGACGGGACCTGTACAAGGACGAGTTGGAGCCCTTCTGGCCCACGCCGGACAAGGTGAGGGTCAATACACGCCCGCCATACCTCCGTGAGAGTAAGACGAGGTTAGATTACTAAAACTGCCAGGTTTCTGACTGACAGTCAGTCCTGACAGTCCTGGCTAACCCTCAGCCCATGTCCTATTGCTCAATGTCCTTTAGCCATTAGTGTCAGTTTTTGTGGATATTACGCTCGGTGAGCTCACGATGGTCCCGTTAGACAGTAAATATACAGACGTTATGCCTACCATGGAGGTAGAGGACTACCCGTGGGGTAAACGATCCACCTCCATAATCGTTGGGCGATGCTATTAGCCAGTGGCGGATCCAGGGGGGGAAATGGGCATTTGCCCTCCCCCCCAAACGGCATAATTTTAACATTACGCCTATTGACGATGCATGGAAAGAATCTATAAATTTTTATGGTTTGCCCCCCCCCCTCAAAAAAAAAAAACTGAGCTGGATCCGCCTCTGCTATTAGCCGTGTCATTTTGCAAAAATGGGCATAAATTCTAAACAAATGCTTGTCATAAGACATTGTCAAGGTCGTAATGTGACCACTACTTGTTGCACATTGTTTGAATAAACTGAGCTGCTAATGAACGTCGAGCCGGTCATACTACTTATAATATATTGGACGGTTGGACCCTGGTCGCCTGGATTATGCGATGTCGTTTTTATTCGGATGTTCGCTTTTATCGGCTGTCATGGTAGAGCTCAGTGTAAAAAGGGGTACCTATCTATCACTTGTGGACTTTTCATCATCATAGGTACAAAGTATTTCGCGAATTTATCTTCTAGTTAACTCATATTAATTATCATTGCCAGGAAAATAAGTTTTACAACCACAAAATATGCCAATATAAATGGACACATTCTGGCCTACTGCATTTTTTATCATATCCCCTCATTCCGGCCCATCAAGAAACGTTTATCGATATCGTTAACGGTCATGCGAGCTGATGATTTATCCTGCTTTCGGTGTGCCACTGGGATGACACCGTCTATTTGTCCGTTTCGAAGATTATGTGGGACTGAGACATGTAGATGTGGATGCTGCTCTGGGGTCCGCCACTGAAATGTCTATCTCTTCATCTCTTTCGCAGATGTGGGACTGGGACATGTGGATGAGGATGCCGTACGTGAGGAAGGGCCGCGAGTGCGTCATTCCGGACGTCTCCAGAACCTACCACTTTGGCTCCACTGGCATCAACATGAACTCCTACTTCCAAGAGAACTACTTCAAGAAGCATGCCTTCAACGTGCTGCCTGACGTTCGGCTGCGCGATGTCAACAAGTAAGGGCTGCTTTTATACGGTCCATTTACGAGTTCTCGGCCTGTGTTTCACTCGATTGGTCCTGACCTTCTCACCGACCCCCACCCGCGCTCAGGCGTCCTACATCTCAATTTGACAACGTACTACTACTCAGCTACCTTGACTTGTTTTGGGCTTGTGCCTTTTTCTGTTGCTACACGGCGGATGATATGGAGAGATCCTTGTTGTCGAATCGAGAGTGTTGTCGTGTCTGTAGAGCATAGTATGCGTCTTATTATATGTAACATGTCGTTTTTCCCTTGCAGGCTGAAGAAGGAAAATTACGAGAAAGAAGTGATATCGTTATTGAAGTCAGCGAGGATCTTGAACACTACTAGGTCGCCCTGTGATAAGGATTTCATTCCGTCGGGAGGAGACTCCAAAACCGCCCGCGTGCTCTTCATCAAGATGAAGAGAGAAAAGGACACAAAAACATGGCTCAAAGTAGCCAAGGTACGGTAGATCCTAACCTCTAAATGATTCCAAGGCCCTATATACCAATGATTCACTCTTTAGACGTGGTTGGTAACTTTACGGTGCACTTCTCAAATTAAGTACATGTGGTGTAAGACGTTATGAGTGCTGTCTAAGCAGACAGAAGCTCGTAAAGTGTCAGCTTATGAGGTCTAACGCGTCTTTGTCCGACGACCGGCAGAGCTTGAAGATATCCTCGACCTGGACTCGCCGTGCGGTGTGTATGTGTGTTTGATGTCTGGCGTTGTCTCTCTGACAGTGTCTGAAGGTGTGGGACCTGGACTGTCTACATTGTGTATGTATCTGACGATGTGTTATGGCTCTCCGACGGCAGTGTCTGAAGGTGTGGGACCTGGACTGTCTATATGTTGCAGGCACTTTAGAAAATCAGTCATTTTGTAAAATGCCTAGGCATTTTGCAAAATGCCTGATTTTCCAGGCTTTTTGCAAAAAGCCTAGGCATTTTACAAAATGACTGACTCTCCAGTCATTTTGCAAAATGCCTAGGCATTCTACAAAATACCTAGCCATTTTACAAAATAACTGAGCAGCGTGTTGTAGATACGAGTACCTAATTATATACGTTTTGGTAGCGTGTAGGTGGACCGAGGAGTCCAGCATTATGACCAGAGGAGTCCAGCAGTGAGAAGTCCATGCCTACCTCTTTGAGAAGTGCAGGCCCGCGACATTTCCAACCCCCACGTCAGCGACGCTGCTGGATTTAAAATGATCGATCTGGAGCGTCAACAAACGACTGGCCCTATGCCGGCCTGTATCTGTAAAACTATTAGAGGTCGCGAGGATAGGATTCGATCCCACACACTTACGCGTTAGTGTCTTCTGAAGCCAACGCTCTCGTCCTACGCCAAGCGACCTGATGATACATCATCAACCGGGCCTGCCTATTGACTAGGGCCGGTCTCCGGCTGGTTTTGTTAGGTCTAGTTTCAGGCAGAACATGAACGGCGTTGATGTACTTGGGAGTTTTTACAACGTTAACTAAACAATGCTTTGTGCTACAGCCGAGTCTGCAACTCAACCTGGTCGTTACTCAGCATTGTCGTCATCACAGAGCTTCAAATCGATCAGCTACAGGCTGAACACGTACCTATAGGGTATAGGAAGACGTCCAAAAACTGTTGGCCATAGTATCTGTAATGGGATCTACTATATATTACTGACCGGGCCGACGAAATTATTTGGAAACAAGGTTTGCAAAATTGACGTAGGCCCGAGTGCGAAGCACGAGGGCCGGAGTCAAATTTTGCAAGCCGAGTTTCCAAATAATTTCGTACGGCTGAGGTCAGTAACTTGGTCAGTAAGATTTTTCCTACATGCCGCATAGCTAGGTTAGTTTCGACAGGTTTTGGTGACACTTTTATACAATTGTTTTGTCCATATTTTCCTAACAGTGTTTGCGCTACTGCTGTGGATAAAGCCTTAAAGGAAATTTATAGAAGAAAATGCATCAAAATACCTTACTTCAAAAAGAATCACGTCTGAAAATATCAACTCAGAATGGCATAACAATTAGATATCCAAGGAACATAATACTTGAATGATTTGCCACGACATAAGAACAAGAAGAAAGTATAATATTCCTAGTGATTAAACGTGAATTTTCCCAGTGCTCTTGCAAGAATCTTTGCTTCATTTATGTAATCGTACTTTATTGCTATGCCCTATGGCTAAACTGGGCTAAACGTTCGTTAAATACATTATATTTTCCATATTTGTTTCGAGGAAAGGACTACAACTGCCAAATAAAAACGCATTACCTTAGGCCCAAGGTATCAGTGGACATATCAAACGAAGATAAGACAACAAGCGATAACGGATTTCGATTAATAGGCGTACCTATATCTTACCATAATTTCGGCTTTGTAACCAATACAAAATATTTCAAAAACCTTGATAAGCAGAGCAGATATTTACCAAAAAATGTTAGTTTTCTAATTTTACGCGGCAAATATCATGCAATAATGATGCCAATTATTCATTCCCTGTCAATTATACCTCTGGACTAATGCGATAAACTGTAGTTTAGAGGTCATTGCCCTGGGCAGTAAACTCGGGCAGTAAACTTTTGTTTCCTGCCCGGCCTATCAAATAACATGGCATTTTGACACCGACAGTTTCTTGGTCATAGTTTTACTGCCCGGCTCGTGCTGTGCTTAAGACATACCCCGGCATGTAGGAAATACGTTCCATGCTGGTCAGGCAATTTGCAAAATGCCTAGTCATTTTGTAAAATGGCTAGCCATTTTGAAAAAAGCCTGGTTGCGTTCAGTCATTTTTCAAACAGCCGTCTTTTTGTAAAATGCCTAGGCATTTTACAAAATGACTGATTTTCTAAAGTGCCTGCAACATATACACTGTGTATGTAGGTATCTGACGATGTGTTATGACTCTCCGACAGTGTGTGAAGGTGTGAGACCTGGACTGTCTATACACTGTGTATGTATCTGACGATGTGTTATATCTCTCCGACAGTGTCTGAAGGTGTGGGACCTGGACTGTCTGTACACTGTGTATGTATCTGACGATGTGTTATATCTCTCCGACAGTGTCTGAAGGTGTGGGACCTGGACGCGCGCGGCTACCACCGCGGCCTGTGGCGGCTGCACCTGAACGGCGCGCCCCTGCTGGTGGTCGGCGTACCCTACTCGGCCTACTCCCGACTACGACCCGCACGCGTGCCGCCGCTGGTCCTCGACGGCGACTCCGGGGACAAGAAGCGGTAGCGGCCGCCCTACCCCGCGCCCTAGCCCCGTCTCTGTGATACAAACCGGCCGTTACGTCACGCTCTGGACGTGATGTGACCGTGATGTGACGTGGGAGAGGCTGCCGAGACGTTGGATCTCGGACGGCCTCCCCTAGCTCTGTGATTTAAGCGGCGATGACTGCGTGTGCGAGGGTGAGCCCGCCTGCCTGTCTCCTCGACATCCCAGGCTCCTTGCCGTAATCGGTACAGCGAAGAGCTTTGGTCGAGCTCCTGGAAGTTTATGACGCTGTGTGGCGTTCCTGGCCCAGTCAACGAGCGCAACGGGTGACCCTCGGTCGCTTCCTTTCCAATCTGATGCTAGTTGCTTTGTGATGCTTGTTAGTACCTATTCGTTTGTCTTGTTTTTGTATGTTATCATTCGGGTAGTGAGGCCAAACCTTGCAGTAGACGTGCTTTTTACCTGTTGTTTTTATCATTTACATGACTTTGGAGGACTATGTTCGTCAAGGTCTTGAACATATCTTTTGTGGACTTTGTTTTTGGTCCTGACCATACCTTTTGTAAGTTGAGGATCCTTTGCACGTACAGACTTCCAAGTAAGTCCTACAGAGATCGACACTGCCCGTCAATGCATACTTTTCCTTAGGACCCTAGTTACTGGCTTAAAGCAAAATTGTCGCTTGACAGACCCAAGCATGGGAAATGTTTTATCAAAGGTTGTTACAGGCTACATACAGCTCGGGTTCGAGCTTACAAACTGTTTTACTTTAAACATTTGTGGTCGAAATTATTCATGGTGACAATTTTGGAACGTTTTATCTCCCTAACTTAAATAAGTTTAAATTTTCTTACAATCCACATCAATAGTTTAAATATCACCTCGGACTTTGCCAATTCAGCGAGCCGTCTCACCGTCTATTGACTTGGAAATTTGTTTTCCTAGTGACTGAACTTCACCTGCCAATATCCGTGGGTTGCTTTCTATGGTTCAGCTTCCGGGTTTCGATCGGGTTCCTAGCTCATCGTTCCTCCCGACCTGACGTGACCCCACCCATCAGCTTGACCTGACCCGGCAGGGTCGCCGGGCTCGATACTGTGTATCGCCATATGCGCTTCATTCCCCAGGCTCGCATTGATCGTCCCGTGGACGTCAGAGACGCTGTTAGCAGCGAGTGAATCTGTCAGATACTGAGTGTGCTTGTTCGTCAGATAATGTCTGTGAACTGCTTATGAAAACGAGCGCGGCCGTCTGATTGTGAAGGTGTCTGCTTGTCTGTCTGTTAGTCAGACAGCGTGAGTGTCGGTCTGTCAGTCGGGAGATTATCAGCTTACCGCCGGTGGCTGCCAGTGATAGCCCAGTGCGGCCCGTCTCCGTTTGCGCCCTGTTCCGGCCCGCTGCTCAGGGCGGGTCTCCGTGTCGAGAGCCCCTGTGTGTGTGTGTGGGGGGGGGGGGGAGCGGTCTCCCAGGGGGCGCTATTGTGATCATCCGTCACCAGCAGCGGGGAGACTGCTGTAGCTGCCAGCAGCTGCTGTGGCAGCATCTTTGTATCGTTATTCATTACGCTTGTAAATGTAAACTGGAAACAACGAGTGCGTTTTGTTACGGTCCACAAAGGGATGAGAAGCGTGACAGTCACAGTTATGGAACTTGCGATGAGGAGATGCACTATCTGGTCGGTTCTTGGGGACGACTTTGAGTGGATCCTGTTGAGGAACCTATGGGGCATGGGAGTTCGGTTCAGTTTTAGAACTCAAGTCCGTCATCCCGATTTTCTCATCACAAATTGGCAATTGCTACTATTTCGGTAAACCATCTAGCAACTAATCACATATATTCGTGTACAACTTCATCAAAGCGACTCGTATCGCTCGCGTCACACGGTAAAGTAAATAAATGTGTCCCAAAAACGCTGAGTGCAACATCTAAAAGCAAATCGCTTTCTGCACAGAATGCCCTTGACATTACCGATGTACCATAAAACTGATGAGATCAGTGGTATATGGCAACACCTTACCAATAAAGCATAAACGGGTTCCCGATGTCGAAAACGACATACCTAAATGAAAACGACACACAGCTTCTCGGCTCGGGTTCATCAGAGGAGCCGAGTTCCGACTAGTTTCCGTGGACGGAATACGTAAGATATCGAACACACGATACACCACAGTGGTGCTATGTCAAAGGTTTGAAAATATCCATCACCAGTGACTAGAACATGCCGTACATGACAGCTTCAACCGTGATCTAGAAGTCACAGTCAAATAGACCTATTCGCGGCAGGCTGCATTGTCACTGCCGAGTGCCGAGGTCAGTGGTCACTGACTGGGTCACCCGTCACGGAACAGGCTACATCCAGTCACTTGCTAGACAACCTAGTAATTACAGTCGGAATCCAGCGAGTCGGAGTCACATCACAGCAGCTTCAGTTCACCATGGTTGAACCAACGTGTCGGTGACCCATCACACCAGAAGCTGTCAGCGCCAACAGATCATTCTAGACCAAAGGCCCATTGGTGATGGCCACACCTAACACTATCAAGTGGCATGAGCCAGTCTGGCACCAGCCACCCTAATCAGTTAAATCACCATCCAGTGACACCAGTCAGGGGTCATTCAGCGAGATTTAACTTGGTGCTCAGCGACGCTGCCTGGCCATTGTAGGAAAGTCTGACCCGGTAGCCTCGGCACGTCGCACAGCCAGCTGACACCAGCACTAGGCAGACGGACAGACACCCTCAAAGTGTTCAGGGGCGTCACATTCTTCCGAGACGGAGCACCGGCCGGGGGTCTAGGATCTCAATCCCGCTCCAGCTCCTCCAGAATATGATCCATCTCATCTGTGGGGTCCAGTTTGTATGTGACGGCGCGATCGATCGCGTCAGTGAACAGCCGCACGACGTTGGTGCCCTTGGAGGCGGACACGTAGTACAAGGGCATGCCGTTCTTCTCGGTGAAGTTGAAGGACCGTGAAGTCACGTCCGGGTTCTCGTCTATCTTATTGACGGCGCACAGGGCAGGGATTGTCGGCCGGTTCTCGCGCAGTTCCTGATACCATCCTGACAGGCCTTTGTAGGTGACCTTTCGCGTGGCGTCAAACACCAGAATACAGGCGTGTGCTTGGTGGTAGTAGGACGGGTGCATCGACTTGAAGGCCTCCTGTCCGGCCGTGTCCCAGAAGTCAACTAGCACGTCCCTGCCCTGCGCGGTGCAGCGGTGTCGGAACAGGTTCACCGCGAACGTGGAGTGCTGGTGCGGCTTGAAGTCGTCCAGCAGGAAGCGCTCCATCATCTTGGACTTGCCGACGGCGCTGTCACCCAGCATGATCACCTTGACGGTGAGCGGCCCGGCACCGGTCGGCCGGTCGTAGTCGATCTCTCGCTCCTCGGGACCCGAAGCCGCCATTGCCACGACGCCGCCTACTGCTGAAACCTGTCACCGGCGCCGTGAGTCAGACATCGGGTCAGGTCACCGGCGCCGCGGGTAAGACATCGGTTCGGGTCAGGTCAGATCGGGTAGACTACATCAGTTCACGTAGATCGACTAATGATTTTGCAATATAAGATCTATGGAGACAGATATCCTGTCAGATGCGCATTCAGTCTGCATCACTAACCCCAGTGCTGTGGCAACATTCATTAGGTATTTGTCAATAATCAGGGCGCTGCTTCGGCAGTCGGCATTTTAAATTACTGAAGGCTTAACGAAAACATTACGTTTATTTCATTTAATACACAATCAGGCAGCATAACAGTGCAAAATGGCCATGAGCCAAAGGCCCAAAACATAGGTATGTAAGTGTATCAAATAGTTCACTGCTAAATAGTGTAGAGTTGAGTTGTAGGTAGAGCTATCAGGTAGAGTTGTATCAAGTCGAAATGCTCGCCAGCAAAAGCTAATCGAATGAGGGCCATCAAGTGAGACGGAGTACAAGTTTACAGAGGGATGCATATTACATACACTGAACATTGTTATTATTTTCAATAAGCAGCTTCACTAAGTCCAAGATCACAACAATCACAATAAATACATAAAACGATATCACAATGAATCCCACCTTCACACATGGATGGTCGGTCACTTCACGGAGCGGACAATAAATACACAGTTTGTTGCCAACTAAGGCCTTCCCCGTTCAGTTCCGACCCTTACCGCTGAGGGTCTGATGGCAGCGGCTGTGGCCAACGGAACAGCTGACGCCACCACACAGACTGAGGGTGCTCCACACTGGTAATACACCATATTATCGCCCGCTAGCCAGTGGCCGATATTGTCTCGACTGTGCGGTTAAGTGAGGACCGCGGCACAGCCCGCTGCCTCACCGCTTGAACTACCCGGCCGTCGCTCGGCCCATAACATTTCTACATACACTGTTTCAACTCCAGGGTCATCGTTCATACGGCCACGACTGTTTCAATGCCCCAGTTTCATGCATCGGATAGGCATTTCACAGACATTATCACCTTCTTCGGATCAGAACCAGTCCACAGTGGTCTCCCGGAAGAGCAGTTCACACTCGTCCCGTACCAGTCGCAGCGAACCTTCCGGGGGGGGGGGGGGGGGGATAGTCCGTTCGCTCGGCCGCAGTCTGTCCTCTGAGGATGATCTCCCCGCTCAGCCGCTAGTTTCCCCTGTGAATCATCTCTCGGCTGCAGTGTGCATAGGGATGGTCTCCCCGTTCCGCCGCTCTGTGGATGATCTCTCAGCCGCAGTGTGTCTGCACCAGGTGGCGCATCAGCGCCGCGGTGGCGCCCGTGAGCAGCGCGAGCAGCGGCGCCAGCGCGGCGTGCAGCCGCAGGCCGGCCGACGGGTACTGCAGGTGCAGACACAGACAGATCTGGAAGCACAGCTTGAGCAGCACGGCGGTCGCCGAGCAGACGGTGCCGCTCAGCCGACGCCACCGGTCCACGCCGCTGCGGCACGGCGACACGAGCACGGCCAGCGAGTACAGCAGCAGCAGTGAGTCCAGCAGCCACAGCGGGATGAACACGATGAACCAGTTCCACTGGGTGCGCCCGTCCAGCCGCAGCACCAGCAGAATCAGAAACACCAGGCTGAGGAACCAGGTGACCAGCGCCCGGTGCAGCACCGCCATCTTGTGGTGGCACAAATCTTGAGAGTATAATCGGATGGATGGTCTATCTTGAAGGACCAGACTTGGCACTCAGCCTGCAGGCTTGTGGTTTGACTCAGCTCAAACTTCAGAAACAATGAAGTGCACTGCAAACAACAAAACAAGTATGATAATAAATGAAGAGGTGCTCAAAATGAAATGATCAACACAAATCATTGGTGCAATGTTACATAAGTGCAATGATGATAGGCATTTATTTGAAAGTAAATGAAAAAGGTAATAAGAGGCATCAGGAGAATGCAATGTATTAGAAAACCAGCTCCTAAGCAGACATATGCACAGATCCAAGAAAATGTATCTGGGGACTGGGATTTGATCCTGCAGATCTTGATCTAGGACCCAAATGGGATTATAGATCAAGCTTTCTAGTTTGCCTGGAGAGCAAATTAGATCATATATCCTTACTCAATTTTTGCTGACATGTAAATATTCAAGGATCGCTTGTTGCACATGGCAATGGTTCTGTTTCAAAGATATTCTGTGATTAGACATCACAATTCATAGTTTGTGGTAATTATTAACATGAAATCACATGGAAACATGGTTTAAGAGGTCAGATATAGACTTATAGAGCCAGAGGAATCCACTCTGATCATGAATCCCTGTTCTTGGTTGGTCATAAAATCTTATCCTCCACCTATCCTTTGAGATCATAGACCCCGAACATATTTTCTATGTGTGATCTGATGGGAGCATAGATCCTAGTTCCTGTTTGCTTTGAGAGTTGAGATCCACTGAAATCATAGATCAATCGCTCAGATCCATGCACATCCACATCTGCCTATCACCTACGGCCATTACAATGAGATAACGTTAGTTAATAGCATCAGCGAGGGTCAGAGATGTTACAAGGTGTCACCTAATAATTGATAATGGTTATTCGGCTTAGCTTAAGTACACATCAATTAACAGTGAATTAGCTTAACCCGCACCCTGCTGGGGGGGGGGGGTGTTTGAACACCCCCCCCCCCTGTGGTTTTTCGCGAATACCTCAAAAACGGCGGCGCTCCGCGCCGCCGTTTTTGGTACACCTTATCATACATCAATTCTACACATGTTGTGTAAATTTCAGACCAAGGTCATTCAAGGTCAGGTCACCAGGTCACTTGAAGTGACCTCACCTCAAAAAAAGTTTCAATGTCTGTCATAGCTACACCGAGTGACCGATCGCTTTGAAACTTTCAGCGATTGCTAAGAGCAATAGCATGTACAAAATGTATATCTCAGAATTTTGATATCGATGACCTAAGGTCAGGTCAATTTTGCGACCTCCCCATTATCAGTCAATGGGAGAAAATTGAAATGCGCCTCTTTTGGACGAAAGACATTATAAACACTCCCAAACACTGAATTACAAGTGGTTTAGACATACTGAATATGAAAATGGTGTCCGTGACCCCTGTTTATGCCCTGAGGTCATCTTAGGTCACGAATGGTATCTAACAGTTTTTCGCAAATAACTTTTGATAGAGGCATGCTAGAGCGATGAAAACGCCTTATATGTGTTAAGCTCGACGATACGGATCCACTGATATGCAACATGACCCTTTCCGGTCAGGTCATGACCTTGACCTGAGGTCAAATTTTCAAGTTGACCTTTCAAGGTCAAGTTATAGTTCATTCGATGCGTCTTGACGAGAGGAACACGATGCCGGTAAAAGTAAGCTCGTACAAGGCTTAGGTCAAAAGTTATTGCAGAAAAACTGTTTCCGAAAAAATCGGCTATTTTTGCAGTTTTTGCCCCCTGCAGGCAAAACCGTTGACGTTAGGTCAAATCTGAGAGAATTATTCAGAAAGGGCGTTAATAGGGCTATCAAATGCGCTTTTCCGCGGCGCTGTAGCTCTATTGGTTCCCGAGTTATGCGTTGGCTTCTTGGAAAATGTCGACATTCGACCTGGAAATCGGCGAAATTTTGCCTTCAATGACCTCTGGTGACCTGACCTTTGACCTGACCAAAAAATTGACTGAAGTGATTTCCTCATTATCTTTGACGCTCTTTCGAACGCCGCCTTCTGCGTATCGCTACGTGGCCCAGGAGCCGAGTTAGAAGGGGGGGGGGTGTTCAAACACCCCCCCCCCCCCCAGCAGGGCATGGAAATCCAGGACCCCCAGCTGGGCGCGGGTTAACACATTACAATAAGTCAAATGTTTTATGTTGGTGCAAAGCCATAATGTTTTCAAAGTGGCACTTGCAATGCAACCACATAACCGCATTGGCATTTGAAAAAAACCATCTGCTTGGAAGAATCCAGAACAACTATTATACTAATAAGCAAGTAGAGTAGAGGTCAAAAATACAAACACACACTCACTCACTAATGCTGAGAAAGCAGATGCTGACCTGTAAAAGGCGCAAACACAATGTCAATGTGGTCCAAACTCCAAATCTTACCTCTTTGTCTTGAAAAACAAGTTCAGCTAGGAATTTGTTCTAGTAAAGCGTAACCTCAGTAAAGCGTGACCTACGCGGCGATAAAAAAGCATTTATCTACAGTTTACACTTGGCAATACCCTACAATCTTATTAGTTATTTGGCAAGTTACTTGGGATTTGGGAACTTGAACTTCTTTGCTCTGCAACAATGACCGGAATGACCGACCGGAATGTTGTTTTGGTTGCGCCAAATCTCGTAAGAGCTGCGCATCTATCGTATAAGCTAAAGCTACCATATTTCCCTCTATTTTTGTTCTCTATTTGGGAGTAGTAAAGGAATCTTGTATTTGGCCATTTCTACACCTTCTGTTCCTGAACAATCTTGCTTTGGCTGCGAGTGGCGATTGCGTGCGTTGTGCCGGTTATTTTAGAAGAATGAATGTAATACAGCACCTTCTTTCTATATCAGCCATTTGACCAACTCGTTCTCTGTCATTAGACTCATGATACACCAAAATATGGGAAGGTTCGGAGTTCGGACCCGAATAACACTTCACACCTTTGCAAGGGTGTGCGAGCTATAGACTTGCGACTTGAGATTGCAGTGTATGCGGTATGCCTATGCCGTGAAGAAAGGAAACGCTTTGAGACCTACACGCGAACAACAGCGAAGAGTGACGTGGTCACTTCATGTCGCGCCCCCGTTCGAATGCTTACCCAGAGAGCCGCCGTGCCGCATACTCCATCATTCGGTTTGCTACCACTCCCAGGTCCCATACACAGTTGATCACACAGGGTATCATGTATTGTAAAATAGTGACGTGCACATCACCTCTAAAGGACTCACAATAGGCACAATAAATCACATATGCTCCATGGAATGGATTCAATAGCACCACGATTGTGCTGGGTCGCGGCGGCGGATCCGCTCCCCGGCGCGCGCGCGCAGACTCTCGTCGACGGTGGGCCCACTGGCCAGCGTCACAGCCTGACGTTCCGCTGAACTGGGACAGATGGCGGCACGGGCGGAGCGGCCCAGTCCACGGTGGACGGTCCACTCCACCTCACATACACTACACATACACTAACCCTCCAAATACGCGCTAAGGCGGCGGCAGCTGGCAGATCTCTGCTACCAAGGCTAAAAATAAATCAATCGGCATCACAGCAGCGGTTACCATACTCGTTTGCACGCTATTAAAAGCTAATACGGGTAAATCTCTGTATACCCGAAGTAGGCAAGCTCCAATTCGAGCGTTTATCACGACTAAAGACAAAAATAACTGCTGGATGCGGACTGATATGACTTACGCTAGACACTAACGTGAAGACACGGTCAATGCAATGAAAACCACAATAGGCAAGCATTCCCGGTGGGACATTCATCAAGTGATGTACTCCAGCAACCAACAGCCGGAACCCAATAAAAGTGGACCACAATTGACGGTAAAAGCTGATGAAACGCACGTAAACTCGCACGCAACATCATCAAGATAAGTACAAATGACAATACACAGTCGACACATTCACACACAAACGTAATACGTAATGCGCACCGAGATACGACACGCAAAAATGACACGTGGCCTCCACACGATTGACAAACTGGTGATTGTACATAAGCGCTGTACTAGGATTCCCTTCTCTTTGTACAACTTGCTAGCGGACCTGAGCTTTCCAATGAAGAATATGGTGCCGGTGTTCCAAACCAGACATGTAAGTACAACCTTGACCCGGCACCGCGGGTCAACAGCGTGGCGCAATCGAACAAGGTTCATGACCCGAGCCCGGTCAACATTCGAACACACCGCGGCCGCATCAAACAGCAACCACGCGCAGGAACCAGTGACAATGGGTAAATATTGTACCAATATGGGAATTCTTACAACAAATCTATGCTACGTCGCGAGGGACAAGCGTCCCATACACACTAGAAACTGTGAGCACAACCACGACCTTGAGCAGACGGTAACTTCATGCAAGAGGAAGCTCCGTTGAGACTTCCTTTTACCTTCATGGAGACCAATCGACGACAGCCGAAATCCTCGCTGTATCAGGACGTAACAGCAGGTTCGGTAAGACGAGGCGGTCGAAAAACGAGCGCATACGATTGCAGAGGGCTATAGTATGGGTGACAGACGGCGGCAAGGCCCCTTCCGACGGCCGGAGGGGACTAGGGACCCACCCAGCGGCCGAGAGGGTCCCGAGGACCCATCCGACGGCCGAGAGGGGGCCCGAGGACCCACCAGACAGCCGTCAAAGCACCTCACCCGGCGGCTGAGGAGCCAGGAGGCCTCCCCCAGTAGTCGTCAGAGGCCAGAGAGATCGATGGGGCCATCAGCCCAGTTTGCGTGGCTGGTACATGTGTTCAGAGTGCACCGTAACGATCAGCATACCAGAGTTGCCGTCCGCCTCCCGATACCTGCCGAGAGGGAGACATGCGACCGTCAGATACTGCGCAGGAGGAGCTAGCAGTCACTTAAGTCGGTTATAGTATCCTATCAGTGTCTATCATTTATCACCCATCAATTCCGTATCATGAGCATCGACTATCAGTAGTGCAAGTTACAAAATACTTTCAGTATGACGAGTCACGCGATAACTCTGTGGAGTGCGCGACTACAACCAACCCTATATCTTCCCGGGCATGCGGCTATCTCTTTATTCGAAAAAAAAAACAACACAATACGTGACTGTTGTAAACCCACCACCCACCCTGCGCCCTTCCTTTCGACCCAGCCCTAAACCGGCGCCCCCAACTTACTGAAAGCCCTTGTTCTCCAGCCACTGTTCAACGGCCGGTTTAATCCTCGCCTTGCCGTGCTTGCTATTCTTCCCTTTACCAGTGATGATTTCCACATTCTTCGATCGGATACCTGCCGGTAAAACCTCGCATTAGAAAGAAACTCAGAGCGTTGCCTAAAATAAAGTCGGGTTATAAAGCCAGACGGATGCTGAGAGCTATAAGGCGTGAAGCAAGCAGAACACACCTGACGTAAAGCGAGGTGGATATGAAGCTACACTTGTCAAACAATTTGTCAATGAACATGTTTCTAAGCAGCAAGCGACGTTTGACGATCCATCTTGCGACTAAGCTCAAATAACCCTGCGGTAGCCCAGTCATCCACCTCCCACCGACCGCAATCCGCCTATCTCTCGCTCACCGTTCCTGCCAAAGTAGCTCTGTCGGTCGGCCAGAAAGCTGGCCAGCTGCGTCTGCGCCTCTTCCACCAGCAGATGGTGAAGATCGATCCGGTTCGGATCCGAGTCCTGGAGCAGCTCCATGGTGGTGATGGTGGCGCGCATGTTACACTCCTCCAGCACGGCGTACAACCGCTGCCTCTGTTGGAAAGACAGGGAGGACGGAGGGTCAGATACCCGGGTGGAGAAAAGAGCGAGAAAGCGAGCTAGAAAGAGAGAAGCACAGAGAAATAGCGAAAGGAAAGAGACGATCGAGGGAAAGGGAGATGGAAAGGAAAAAGACGAGCGAGGAAAGGGAGATGGGAGGGAGGGAGGGAGGGAGGGAAAAAGAGAAAAAGAGAGAGAAAGAGAGAGAGAGAGAAAGAGAGAGAGAGAGAGAGAGAGAGAGAGAGAGAGAGAGAGAGAGAGAGAGAGAGAGAGAGAGAGAGAGAGAGAGAGAGAGAGAGAGAGAGAGAGAGAGAGAGAGAGAGAGAGAGAGAGAGAGAGAGAGAGAGAGACCGGAGTCAGACCGACTCTCACCTCGGCGACGTAGTACTGCGACACGCTGAAGGCTCCGCGGCGCACGGCCCTCTCGGCCATCATCTTAGCGTGTTCGATCTTCTGTCGGATCAGCTCCGACTCGGCGCGGATGTCGTGGAACGACGGCATGCCCTTCTCGGTGAGGAAGTCGGCCGGTATGGGCCCGACCGCGCCGCCCGACTGCGGGAGCGCAGAGCGACGGTCAGAGGGGGTGGAGACGGGTGGGTTAGAAAGAAGAAGGGCACCTTAGAAGAGTATTTCAATGGCACTTCACTCTCATTCATTCCATTATGAGTCAATATTCATTGAACATTGAACTCAATCTAATTTGAACTGATCATTCACGCATCAGTAACCTTGAACACTACCGAATGTCATTAAACATGAAACTCAACTCAATCTACCAGACATGTGCATCGATCCGGGCGTTGGATCTGGGATCTCAATGGATCTCACGATAAAATCACAAAATGAAAGAGGAATCTAGGCCCTAAAACTTTGTCGGATCCTTGGGAATAAGTGGGATTTACTGTCTCATTGGGTCTAGTGAAAAACAATCCTAGAAATCATCTACTATGTATTTCAGACCCCATGAGACCCTGTTTTTCGGCGATAATTTCTTCAGTTTTTGTCTAATTGGCTTGAAATTTTGACATTAGACATTTCAGCTCAAGCGCCAATTTTCATCAATATGGTCTCTTAACAAAATGTTAAGATTTAAAGCACTTGTCATAGGCTCGTAATGCTAATTAGATTTTGCACCCGGATAGAGGCTCGTTCGCTACCGCAGCGGATCGGACGGGAGCGCTGGCCAATCACGTTGCGCCGGGCCCAACTTAACTCCGCCCACTGGCCGTGACCGCGCTGGGTCTATGCCGGCTCAGTCGGCGGCAGCACCGCCACGGTACATAGAATACTAGGTAACACCGGTTTGTCCGCTCAACACAGGGCCAATGGTCACCACTTTCTTCAGCTGACGTCTGTGACCTTGAGCTGACCTAGGATGATAAACAGCTGACAATTTAGGCCATTTGGAGCTCACTTGACAGCTGAAGAGCGTGATTTAAAATATAACTATTTGTCAGGCACTTACAAAAGATATTATTCACCAGTCATTTTTTAAGCACATTCTGTCATAAATTAGCTGACTCCCTCTGGTCTTCCACACGGCATAAAATGCAAGTGCAAATTCTGCCGTCTTGAAGTGAGCCAAACGCTTATGATACACATGATCGTTTCTCTCAGAGCACAACGGAAACTGCGAGAAAACAAGAGAGAGTCGGACTCTACAAATGAATGAATTTGGAAGAAAAATAGCTGTATTTTTTCCTGTGGAAATGTTGACTTTGAAAACATTGGCCATCAACTTTAAAATTGCCCCCAAATATGAAAATGTGTGAATTGACAAAACAGGCAATCTTCGGTTTTTGCCCAAGTTTGTTCATGATTGAGAGAGATTCGATGCGAAAATGCACTGATATATACTTTTGAAAGCGAGGTCTTGATCAGTGTATTAATTTTTATTTTTAACTTAACGCTAGTCCCACTTTTCCCTCCAAGAAAATATATTTGTCAATTTTTCAATAATCATATTATGCGTCATTGCTTTAAAAATAAAGAGAGTCGGACCGTAATTCTTTCAAAATGACTGATCGTGCTCAATATCTATCGGAATACATCAACAGATTGGCCAGACTCATTGGCTAAATATGTTTAAATTGCATTTTTCTTACTTTCTGCAGATTTTCCTGCAAAATTTTGCTGTAGTTTAAGCTGCATTTCCTGCAGATTGTGTTCACAGACCAATGGGAGACAAGTATTTCTTCATCAACAGGTTTATTCGCCATCAATTGGTCTAGCGGGTGTTTTTTGCATGCGCAGCTCATGTCACAGCTGCGTAAGAACACGTTCGCTTTAAATCATTATGGATTTTTCTTTTCGGAATATCAAAGGTCTTACCGGGGTTACATGAGCAAGTAAATGCGTATCAGGAACGGATTTTCCTATTCGCTCACCTGATTGTAGTCCGTTTGTAATGCGTATTACCTCTGCTCATGTAACCCCGAGTAATGTTGATGTGTTTCATAAGATTTGTGGTGGCGGGATTATCGTCATTAACTAATTACTTGATATATTTTAATGGGGAGTGGTGTAATGCCCGCACGACTGTTGACTTTCATTGTAATTGCTTGAGCTGGTTCCTGGGCCGCCTCAGATAGCAGGATGGTGTGTCAAGTAGGTATCATGGCCTGACAGGAAGGTGGGTACCCAGACCCCTAGCTCAATATTAATCTCAGATGAAGCCCGTATATATGTCTTAGAGCTTGTTAAAGTTTTAACCTCACCTACATATAACCTAACATAACCTGAAATAACCAGACATGCTAGAACCCTTATTTTGGTCAAATGCTGATGAGCAGAAAAATATTAACTTTTTGATGATTTGCCATGCCTACCTATTGCTATGTCTGGATGAGGGTTTCTCGGTTACTGTGTAGATAAACTATGGTGAAGATAAAAAACATCATTTACCCTAGCCTAACCTTTGCGTACTAAACTACCACTTTTGGTAAATGTTCAGAAAGAGTGATTCACTTTTCAGGCATACATTTTGTACATTCTTGCACTATTTAACATCCTGAATCCAGATATGATATTTACATGTGATACAAATACAAAACAAAAATCAAACCTTACCTAACCCCATGCCAGACTGGAAAACATCCATACACTACGCCGGATGCCAGTGAGACCATCTTGCGCCGATATTCGGCGCAAGCGATTTTGCGCCGAAATTTCTGAGTGATTTGCGCCAAAAATTAGGTGCCTATTTGTGCGAAAATTAAGCCCTTTTCATATAAAGCACATGTGCACATATACTGATCAAGGCTATATCAACCAGGCAGAGTGTTTCGTACGCTATCCCATGTTGGAGCGTCCGAATTAGTTTTTATTTCCACGTAAACCCAATACCTCGGTGGGAGCCAGCGAGGGCCCGGCAGCGGAGCAGCACGTGCTCCGGCACATCAGCCTCTTCTCGGCTCACGGTGCAGAGCGCCGCTGGGCACCGCTTGTCTGGGTACTGCTGACACGCGGCGGAGTGGAGACAGCCGATTCGGTGCCGTATTGGAGCGAGCTGCCCCGGTGGCCGGCCCTCATCTGGTGCACCGAAATGGCATCCTCTCGGTCCTCTCCGGGGAGAGGGAGCGGCGGCGTGCTCCCGAGGAGTGGCTTGAATAGTGATTCTGAGCAGTTGTCGCGCCACTGATGCGAGGCCGCACAATGAACCGCCCTGGTCAGCGATCGGGCGTTTGAGGGCAGGGCGGCCGCCAGTTTTGCCAGATCGTCCACGCTCTCATTCCCCTCGATACTGCAGTGGGCAGGAACCCACTGCTATTGCTTAACGACGCTTGGCGACGTTCAACAACGTTTTCCATGCCTATCTCTACGCCGAAGGTTGAGGCCTCACCTGGGCGGCCGTTCCTCCGCTGAGTAGACTCAGGGCGGCTCGCCAGTTCGAGCACGCGACGACCGGGGCGGGGGACGTCTCGTCCCGCAACCTCTCCAGAGCTGCCCACGGGGCGAATCTGCTGCTAGATTGACCAGCGTACCGCATAAATTCGGTGACTGTCTTTCGCCAAAAAATTATGCGACCGCCCTGCACCGAAAAATTCGTCCGCCGCCATGCGCTGAATTCGGCGCATGCGAAGTTACGCCGGACGTGCTCTTAAATTTTCGGCGCAATCCCGCCACTACGCCGGACATATTCGGCTTAACGTGTATTTTTTCCAGTCTGGACCCCATGTTGCATATTCATATGAACTGTAGATCAGATATTTTTTGAACAAATACCCATCTTTCATCCTTTCAGCATGCCTACAACCTACTAAACAGCCTTGGTATCAACCTACCATTCATACTTTATCCACACATACATATTGATATATGGGGTATGTTTGGTTCATTAGGTTATAGTAGGTCAGGTGCCTACATGCTATCATTTGTCATGCTTTGATTTCAGGTGGTGTCTTGTGGGCTTTATAGTGGGCTTTGTGGCCCTCTCTAAGTGCAAGGGTTAAGTGTTGATGCACATAATGCAATGTGTTTTTTTTTTTCCATGGGCGCAGGAACCTCACGTAAAGTGTGGGGGGAGGGGGGCAGAGAACTTATGTCACTTTGTGGGAACCCCAATACCCCTATGAACAAATTCTTTGCAGTTTCCTGCTTATCTCACCTTGCCGAACAGTTTCTTGCTCTTAGTTTTGAATTTAAATGAAAAATAAATATTTTACTCTAAAATTAGCATAGCTGAAAAGTGGGGACATCCCCCCCGATCCTAGGCCTGTTTTTTCTTAATGGTACAAATCATCCAGATTCATATGAGAAGGGTGGGTAGCTACCTACAAAATCAAATCAATGCCTCAATTGTTTATTGTTTTATTACAATAAGTCCCTCCTCTGCCAATCACACTAAACTATCTACTGTCACAATGCAGTGTGCGTCATGATTTCTCAACTCTATGCATACAATATATTTCCATTTGTCAATCACATATTGTTTTTTTTACAGGCTTTCCGGTTATGACTGAGGCCAGCATCTCACGTGTCCTGGCTACGCCAAATCACTGCGGATGCCGGATGCCGAGGACCGGAGAGCCAACCGCTTTGAGGCGTGAGCTCTGTGGCGTGGCTCGAGTGATCACCAGGTTCTGACGGCTACGGCGCCGTCGACCTGGTTGAATAGCTGGGGCCTGGACGAGAGTGCCCTTAGTACGGTGGTCAATCGGTTACGTCCGAGGGGCGCTCGAACACGCTGCCGTCGCGTGGCTGCCGGCGGCCGCCCCCTCGCACGTGAATCTCCTGGAGCGAGGACTGCGGGAGGCGGCCGCATCATCACCTGTGTCCGCGCTCAACACCGTGCCACGCACTAATGGCGGAAGCCCGACTTTCTCCGATGGAGGAGAGAAGCTGGACGCTGGCTGCCAGGCTGCTGGGGAGGGCGCTGGGTCTGCCATCAGGGGACCCCCTGCGCGCGACCGCCGAGGCCTCGGCACCGGCGCGCCTGCCTTCGGTCCGAGGCTGGAGATTGCGAGGCCGCCAGGCCTGGGCGAGAGCGAGAATCCCACCGTGGCAACAGACGGCTGGCGTCACCTTCCGGTTGGACGTGTGCCCGATCCGGGCTGGGGCCACGGCGGCGGAAAGGGAAAGCGTGGCTACGCTGCACCTCGCGTTCCTGCCCCTGTGTGCTGTCCGGCTTTGGACGGACGGATCTGTGGAGGGCGGAGTCTTCAGGCGCTGGGCGGGAGCCGTGCTGGTCTGGCTGGACGAAGAGGTCGAGGAACTGCGGGCCCCGGCCGGAGAGCTGTGCTATAGCTACCGCGCGGAGATGGTGGCGCCGGTGACCGGTCCGGAGACCGTACTCGGAAGAGACAGAGACCAGGACCTGCGGTCCGTACCTATCTGCTAACTGTGCGGTAGTGCTGGTGTAGTGCAACATTTTTGGATGGCTAGCTACATTTCACGATTAAATAGCTGGTACGTTTCAGTGCAGGTGGCGTGACGAGCAATGTATCTGTTGGCCACTTCTGCGGCCGCTGCCATTTCCTACTCGAAGGCGGGCGCACTACTTGGCTGGGCCGGCAGGATGTTCCTATTATGTGTCGACGACAAAGCGAGTATATTCATGTTCTTTTAAAGGGACTATCCCACCTTCTAAAATGTTGTTAAAACCAGTTAAATTGTGCCCGACTTTATAGACTGGATGACCAGGAACACGGTTCTGGCATTTATTTTTCATTAAACATTTTAGGCTTCCATATTCCAAACACAAACTTTCAAATATGTGACGTCACAGCCCAAAATTACCTCCTTCCCCAGGCCACATTACTGTCATAAAGCTGATTCTTTTTACTCTGTAGGGACCACAACAAAGTTCAGACCAAGTTTTAAGCGATTTTTCAACGAACAAACCCATTTAAATCAGAATGACTAAACGAGGTGACGTCACACTAACGGTCGCTCCATGTTGAAGATAGGGCCTTGTACAAGGCCCATTTTCAAATGAAGGGAACGAATTTCTTCAACACCAAGAGGCCGCGGGGGTTGCAACCTAGATAGATAGTGGTTTCTGAACCTCGCCGCAAACTTGGCTATCTCAACTCAAACCCCATGTTAAAGGTGGGATAGTCCCTTTAATGCACAGAAGTCTGTTGTATATTTGAAGTTTTATTTTAGGTTGACGATTGCGAAGGGCAGATTCATCTTCTCTCTTTCATTTGTGTTGCCACTTTAGCGTTCATGTTTGTCATAAGTGTCCTGGTCCGGCTTGGTTGTCATCTTCATTCGTGATGTATTTTATTTTACGAACATGCTGGTGATCAATGCAATACACTTTTGATTAATAATGCTGCTTTAGCTCTGATCCTTTGTGGTATGTCTTGATTGTACTACTGCGATAGTGATTTTTCCTCACCAAAATATGCAGGCAACAAATGTAAATGCTGCCAAAAGTTTGTCATTGCGTGATGTATCTAAAAGACATCAAGTTTCTGAACGTGGTCGTGTACTACGCAACCGGAAACTCAATAGGACGTGGAATGCTGTGAAGCAAAACTACAGAAGTGAGGCTGGCCACGCCAAAATCAAGTGAGATATGTCCAGCCTTTCTTCAGCCGCCAAGGCTTCGACAGACTATCCGCGGGTTCGGTGTCTCTCGAACTACGAAGATTCAACGTCGTCCGGCCAATCCTGGTTAAGGTCAGCGGGGACTTAGCTGTGGTTATGGAACAGGATTGGCCGTCCGAGAGACTCAGAACCTGGGGTATGTTGCAGCACAGCTATGTCGACCGAGTGTCGTCGCAAGCTGCCCCACTCGACGAGAAAAAGTAAAACCGTCCCGTCCTAGGCTGACTAGGCTTAGCTAGGTGGCAGCACAGTCGCGCCGGCAGGGGGCAGTGCCACAACCAGCCGACTGATATTTTCGTGTGACGTCAGAACCGGTGCCTCCCTGAGCACCGCGGAGAGGTCGAACGGGGCCGCGCACTGGAAACATACATGGAATCGACAGGAAGTGTCTGAGCGAAAGCCTGCTCTTCATCTGGGGAATTGGTAACCGCTTCTCTGTTTTTGATATACCTATCAACACCGATCCAGCTCAGAATATGAATAATAATCATAGTGAGGATATTAACCTCCCCAGAACCAACCTTAAATAGAGAGCTGAGATATGCACTATCTGAATATCTGAATGAATGTACATTCTAGCGCCTATCTCATGGTCAGGTCGTGCCACTATTCTGTCACCTATGACAATAGGTATGCGAAGCCTCTGCACTACTCGAAAATATCGATATTGGTTGGCTGCGTCAATCGCTGTTTCTGAAGACGCTGTTATACCAATGCAGAAAACAGCAGGGTGGGATGATGAGTTGCGAGCACTTCCGATTGCCTTAGACATCGCTCCACGAGCTGTGTTCCGTGTTCGTAATTCGGGAAGTGTTGAGAAAGGAGCAGAAATGTGATCTGCGATTTATTGCGTATGGTAGAAATGTGACATCAGAATAAGGGAAACCAGCGCAAACGCTAGTAAAGAAATCGCGTCTTTTTGTAAAACTAAAGTCACTTTTCAAGCTCTCTAATAGTGAGGCAGTAGGCTACTTACTTAAGGTATTTTAATTATTTGCATTTCAACACGAAAGCCTGGGGACGGGGTCAAGTCAGTTCGGTGACCTCAATCTAGCCAATTATAAAATGGGTTAGTTCCGAAGGTATTCATGTTGCATCGCAATCGCATGAATCCATCTCAAGCATACGCATAAGCATAATATATTTCATATTGCAACCACACTTCTTAAACGCTACGGTGTAACTGTTTATCATGTCTTGCAAATTTGACGTAGACTGACCGACGTCTTGCATCAGTTCACAGTCAATTGACATCAACGCTTTTTTTTAATGACGTTCAATCAATCAAAAATGCAGTCACTAGCCCTGAACTTACTGAACATGTAGCTTACGCATTACGCATATCTTTATTGATTGACATGGTGTAGGCTAATTTGCGATAAATGCAATAACGAAGGCTAGTGCGCTAATTACGATCGCTAGTTTCTGCTGTATCGTTAGTACTGCAACGGTAACCGCAAGACAGCCATGCGTCCAATGCGAGCCGCCCCGGTCCGGCATACGGCCCTGGGTCCGGCACCTACTGCCCCGTCGGCTCCACGCATCCGACCACGGTACATAGAATACTAGGTAACACCGGTTTGTCCGCTCAACACAGGGCCAACGGTCACCACTTTCTTCAGCTGACGTCTGTGACCTTGAGCTGACCTAGGATGATAAACAGCTGACAATTTAGGCCATTTGGAGCTCACTTGACAGCTGAAGAGCGTGATTTAAAATATAAATATTTGTAAGACACTGACAAAAGATATTATTCACCAGTCATTTTTTAAGCACATTCTGTCATAAATTAGCTGACTCCCTCTGGTCTTCCACACGGCAGAAAATGCAAGTGCAAATTCTGCCGTCTTGAAGTGAGCCAAACACTTGTGATACACATGATCGTTTCTCTCAGAGCACAACGGAAACTGCGAGAAAACAAGAGAGAGTCGGACTCTACAAATGAATGAATTTGGAAGAAAAATAGCTGTATTTTTTCCTGTGGAAATGTTGACTTTGAAAACATTGGCCATCAACTTTAAAATTGCCCCCAAATATGAAAATGTGTGAAATGACAAAACAGGCAATCTTGCTGTTTTTGCCCAAGTTTGTTCATGATTGAGAGAGATTCGATGCGAAAATGCACTGATAAATACTTTTGGAAGCGAGGTCTCGATCAGTATATTAATTTTGATTTTTAATTTAACGCTAGTCCCACTTTTCCCTCCAAGAAAATATATTCGTCAATTTTTCAATAATCATATTATGCGTCATTGCTTTAAAAATAAGGAGAGTCGGACCGTAATTCTTTCAAAATGACTGATCGTGCTCAATATCTATCGGAATATATCAACAGATTGGCCAGACTCATTGGCTAAATATGTTTGAATTGCATTTTTCTTATTTTCTGCAGATTTTCCTGCAAAATTTTACTGTAGTTTAAGCTGCGTTTCCTGCAGATTGTGTTCACAGACCAATGGGAGACGAGTATTTCTTCATCAACAGGTTTATTCGCCATCAATTGGTCTAGCGGGTGTTTTTCGTATGCGCAGCTTATGTCACAGCTGCGTAAGAACACGTTCGCTTTTATGGATATTTCTTTTCGGAATATCAAAGGTCAATGTGTTTCATAAGATTTTGATTTGTGGTGGCGGGATTATCGTCATTACCTAATTACTTGATATATTTTAATGGGGAGTGGTGTAATGCCTGCACGACTGTTGACTTTCATTGTAATTGCCATAGGTGGGCATCGTTCCTCAAAATTGTAACTTCGTTACTCGTTCCTCCGTTCCTTCAAAACGTGACTTCCGTTACTCGTTCCTCCGTTCCTCTGAAAATAATGTAACGGAAATTCTTTAGTCCGTTACTCCGTTACAACAAAAGAAAATGTTGTGTATTTCACACATTTCTGAGACCAATTTCAGACACCTTACCGACTACAGAGAAAGAGGAATGCCCATCAAATCTACCAAGACAGCGGGCCACTGACTGGACACTAAACCTTAGAATGTCTGGTTAGTGCTTGTACTGATGCGCATCACTTGTCCCCGGCCAGATGCCGGTTGCCCTTCACGAACACGAGACGTTCCAGGTTGGCATCTGAGAGGGTAGCCTTTTTTGCACGTAGCACGTCTTTTCCCATCGAGGACATCCGCTCTACTGAGGCGCTTGAAGGGACGCCCGTGTTGAACTTTGCGAACACATGCTGCAACGCCGGCTCCTTCCGAAAGGCCAGGTCACTGAGGCCATCTTCCTTCAAGACATCTTCGAGACACATTTTTATTACAGCCTATATTTAGTTTACATTAAAGAGTATATTTTTATTATACTCTTGACCTGCTTGAACTGTGACTGGTCTCAGGTTTCTGGCGGTGCGTCATCCCCTGAAAGAAGTCCCCCCCCCCCTCCTCATCTGGTTCACTGGTACTGCTGATACTGGTCGCGTCGTCTCTCAGCTCCCTGAGGGCCGTCTCCACAGCCGACTCCATGACACTTTTCACGCTTCTCATACCTGGGTGGCGTCATGGCTCATCATACTGTTCCAGCCAGGTCAAGCAGAACATGGGGTGGAAAGCTGCGGCCAGCTGGCAATCCAGGTCCTTGAAAACATTCTGGAACCTCGTCTCCATACCCTCAAGCGTGGTGTCATGGCCCTCAAGTTTGTTCAAAGATCAACCCGCTCGAACAACGAAAAGTAACGGAGGAACGAAGGAACGGGCTAAACTGTAACGGAGGAACGAGCAACCAATGTAACGGAAGTTACTTGGTCCGTTCCGCTTTCTAAAATGTAACGAGTTCGTTCCTCCGTTCCTAAAAATTGTAACGGCGTTCCGGAACGGAGGAACGGAGGAACGGATCGTGCCCACCTATGGTAATTGCTTGAGCTGGTTCCTGGGCCGCCTCAGATAGCAGGATGGTGTGTCACAAGGCCCTAAATACAGTGTCAATTGTATCATGGCCTGACAGGAAGGTGGGTACCCAGACCCCTAGCTCAATATTAATCTCAGATGAAGCCCGTATATATGTCTTAGAGCTTGTTAAAGTTTTAACCTTACCTACATATAACCTAACATAACCTGAAATAACCAGATATGCTAGAACCCTTATTTTGGTCAAATGCTGATGAGCAGAAAAATATTAACTTTTTGACGATTTGCCATGCCTACCTATGTCTGGACGAGGGTTTCTCGGTTATTGTGTAGATAAACTATGGTGAAGATAAGAAACATCATCTACCCTAGCCTAACATTTGCGTACTAAACTACCACTTTTGGTAAATGTTCAGAAAGAGTGATTCATTTTTCAGGCATACATTTTGTACATTCTTGCACTATTTGACATCCTGAAACCAGATATGATCTTTACATGTGATACAAATACAAAACAAAAATCAAACCTTACCTAACCCCATGCCAGACTGGAAAACATCCATACATTACGCCGGATGCCCATGAGACCATCTTGCGCCGAAATTCGGCGCAAGCGATTTTGCACCGAAATTTCTGAGTGATTTGCGCCAAAAATTAGGTGCCTATTTGTGCGAAAATTAAGCCCTTTTCATATAAAGCACATGTGCACATATACTGATTAAGGCTATATCAACCAGGCAGAGTGTTTCGGGGCTTTGTACGCTATCCCATGTTTGAGCGTCCGAATTAGTTTTTATTTCCACGTAAACCTAATACCTCGGCGGGAGCCAGCGAGGGCCCGGCAGCGGAGCAGCACGTGCTCCGGCACATCAGCCTCTTCTCGGCTCACGGTGCAGAGCGCCGCTGGGCACCGCTTGTCTGGGCACTGCTGGCACGCGGCGGAGTGGAGACAGCCGATTCGGTGCCGTATTGGAGCAAGCGGCCCCGGTGGCCCGCCCTCATCTGGTGCACCGAAATGGCATCCTCTCGGTCCTCTCCGGGGAGAGGGAGCGGCGGCGTGCTCCCGAGGAGTGGCTTGAATAGTGATTCTGAGCAGTTGTCGCGCCACTGATGCGAGGCCGCACAATAAACCGCCCTGGTCAGCGATCGGGCGTTTGAGGGCAGGGCGGCCGCCAGTTTTGCCAGATCGTCCACGCTATCATTCCCCTTGATACTGCAGTGGGCAGGAACCCACTGCTATTGCTTAACGACGCTTGGCGACGTTCAACAAGGTTTTCCATGCCAATCTCTACGCCGAAGGTTGAGGCCTCACCTGGGCGGCCGTTCCTCCGCTGAGTAGACTCAGGGCGGCTCGCCAGTTCGAGCACGCGACGACCGGGGCGGGGACGTTTCGTCCTGCAACCTCTCCAGAGCTGCCCACGGGGCGAATCTGCTGCTAGATTGACCAGCGTACCGCATAAATTCGGTGACTGTCTTTCGCCAAAAAATTATGAGACCGCCCTGCACCGAAAAATTCGTCCGCCGCCATGCGCTGAATTCGGCGCATGCGAAGTTACGCCGGACGTGCGCTTAAATTTTCGGCGCAATCCCGCCACTACGCCGGACATATTCGGCATAACGTGTATTTTTTCCAGTCTGGACCCCATGTTGCATATTCATATGAACTGTAGATCAGATATTTTTTGAACAAATACCCATCTTTCATCCTGTCAGCATGCCTACAACCTACTAAACAGCCTTGGTATCAACCTACCATTCATACTTTATCTACACATCCATATTGATATATGGGGTATGTTTGGTTCAGTAGGTTATAGTAGGTCAGGTGCCTACATGCTATCATTTGTCATGCTTTGATTTCAGGTGGTGTCTTGTGGGCTTTATAGTGGGCTTTGTGGCCCTCTCTAAGTGCAAGGGTTAAAGGGACACTCCCACCTTAACATTAGTTTTGAGTTGAGATAGCCAAATTGGTGGCCATGGCCTGCAAATACCGGTTTGGGCACTCACAACATCGACAAATGCTTTAATTCGGAGATATGGAATTTCAAACTTGCAGTTTTCGGATTCTAAGGGGCTAGTGCATTGGTATGCCCCCTTAGAATTTGTGACGTCAGCGGAGATCTAACGATTTTTAAATCTTTTACTAAAACGTTTGGTAGCACGCGGTGGTATATGCTGCTTTGCGCGCAACAAATGCCGCACTTTCAAATTAAGTCGCTAGGAACAGCGGAGATCCCAAAAAGTAAACAAAAGTAAAAGTCTAATATCTTGAAAACCGGTGAATATTTTTCGATGAAATTTGGTAGATATTCGTTTTCGCTCTTTCTGAACCGAGCGACATCACTTTCGTGCCAATTCATTAACTTTTTTGAAGGTGGGAGGGTCCCTTTAAGTGTTGATGCACATAATGCAATGTGTTTTTTTCCATGGGCGCAGGAACCTCACGTAGTGTGTGTGTGTGTGGGGGGGGGGGGGGTGGCAGAGAACTTCATTGTCACTTTGTGGGAACCCCAATACCCCTATGAACAAATTCTTTGTAGTTTCGTGCTCATCTCACCTTGCCGAACAATTTCTTGCTCTTAGTTTTGAATTTAAATGAAAAATAAATATTTTACTTTAAAAATTAGCATAGCTGAAAAGTGGGGACATCCCCCGCCCGATCCTAGGCCTATGTTGTTTTTTTTCTTAATGGTACAAATCATCCAGATTCATATGAGAAGGGTAGGTAGCTACCTACAAAATCAAATCAATGCCTCAATTGTTTATTGTTTTATTACAATAAGTCCCTCATCTGCCAATCACGCTAAACTATCTTCTGTCACAATGCAGTGTGTGTCATGATTTCTCAACCCTATGCATACAATATATTTCCATTTGTCAATCACATATTGTTTTTTTTTACAGGCTTTCCGGTTATGACTGAGGCCAGCATCTCACGTGTCCTGGCTACGCCAAATCACTGCGGATGCCGGATGCCGAGAACCGGAGAGCCAACCGCTTTGAGGCGTGAGCTCTGTGGCGTGGCTCGAGTGATCACCAGGTTCTGACGGCTACGGCGCCGTCGACCTGGTTGAATAGCTGGGGCCTGGACGAGGGTGCCCTTAGTACGGTGGTCAATCGGTTACGTCCGAGGGGCGCTCGAACACGCTGCCGTCGCGTGGCTGCCGGCGGCCGCCCCCTCGCACGTGAATCTCCTGGAGCGAGGACTGCGGGAGGCGGCCGCATCATCACCTGTGTCCGCGCTCAACACCGTGCCACGGACTAATGGCGGGAGCCCGACTTTCTCCGATGGAGGAGAGAAGCTGGACGCCGGCTGCCAGGCTGCTGGGGAGGGCGCTGGGTCTGCCATCAGGGGACCCCCTGCGCGCGACCGCCGAGGCCTCGGCACCGGCGCGCCTGCCTTCGGTCCGAGGCTGGAGATTGCGAGGCTGCCAGGCCTGGGCGAGAGCGAGAATCCCACCGTGGCAACAGACGGCTGGCGTCATCTTCCGGTTGGACGTGTGCCCGATCCGGGCTGGGGCCACGGCGGCGGAAAGGGAAAGCGTGGCTACGCTGCACCTCGCGTTCCTGCCCCTGTGTGCTGTCCGGCTTTGGACGACGGATCTGTGGAGGGCGGAGTCTTCAGGCGCTGGGCGGGAGCCGTGCTGGTCTGGCTGGACGAAGAGATCGAGGAACTGCGGGCCCCGGCCGGAGAGCTGTGCTACAGCTACCGCGCGGAGATGGTGGCGCTGGTCACCGGTCCGGAGACCGTACTCGGAAGAGACAGAGACCAGGACCTGCGGTCCGTACCTATCTGCTAACTGTGCGGTAGTGCTGGTGTAGTGCAACATTTTTGGATGGCTAGCTACATTTCACGATTAAATAGCTGGTACGTTCCAGTGCAGGTGGCGTGACGAACAATGTATCTGTTGGCCACTTCTGCGGCCGCTGCTATTTCCTACTCGAAGGCGGGCGCGCTGTTTGGCTGGACCGGCAGGATGTTCCCATTATGTGTCGACGACAAAGCGAGTATATTCATGTTCTTTTAATGCACAGAAGTCTGTTGTATATTTGAAGTTTTATTTTAGGTTGACGATTGCGAAGGGCAGATTCATCTTCTCTCTTTCATTTGTGTTGCCACTTTAGCGTTCATGTTTGTTATAAGTGTCCTGGTCCGGCTTGGTTGTCATCTTTATTCGTGATGTATTTTATTTTACGAACATGCTGGTGATCAATGCAATACACTTTTGGTTAATAACGCTGCTTTAGCTCTGATCCTTTGTGGTATGTCTTGATTGTACTACTGCGATAGTGATTTTTTCTCACCAAAATATGCAGGCAACAAATGTAAATGCTGCCAAAAGTTTGTCATTGCGTGATGTATCTAAAAGACATCAAGTTTCTGAACGTGGTCGTGTACTACGCAACCGGAAACTCAATAGGACGTGGAATGCTGTGAAGCAAAACTACAGAAGCGAGGCTAGCCACGCAAAAATCAAGTGAGATATGTCTAGCCTTTCTTCAGCCGCCAAGGCTTCGACAGACTATCCGCGGGTTCGGTGTCTCTCGAACTACGAAGATTCAACGTCGTCCGGCCAATCCTGGTTAAGGTCAGCGGGGACTTAGCTGTAGTTATGGAACAGGATTGGCCGTCCGAGAGACTCCGAACCTGGGGTATGTTGCAGCACAGCTATGTCGACCGAGTGTCGTCGCAAGCTGCCCCACTCGACGAGAAAAAGTAAAACCGTCCCGTCCTAGGCTGACTAGGCTTAGCTAGGTGGCAGCACAGTCGCGCCGGCAGGGGGCGGTGCCACAACCAGCCGACTGATATTTTCGTGTGACGTCAGAACCGGTGCCTCCCTGCATCCGACTGACCGGCCAAGGTCACCGCTCCGTCCGCCGGGAGGGAGGGCGGAGCTTAATGGTCACGTGCCTGTGACGTCACGCCTACGTACGGATAGCCTCTACTCAACTGACGAATTTACGGAGCTGATTTTAACATTACGAGGCAACGACAAGTACCCTAACAATTGATATTTTGTTAAGAGACCAAATTAGCGAAAATTGGCGCTTGAGCTGAAATGTGTTTTGCGAAAATTTGAAGCCAATTGGATAAATATTAAATAAATTATCGCCGAAAAACAGGGTCTCATGGGGTCTGAAATGCATAGTAGGATTGGTGTGGCTCATCATATTCTATTCACTGATCCTGGATGATTATACCTCAAAGTGTCACACACGTATGAATTACGAACACTTGACGTAAGAACTTGCATAAACAGCAAACATGCATAAACAGAAACATCGGCTTGTGCAAACCATGTGGAAGTTGAATCTATGAGCCCCGTCTTCAACTGAGGATTAAGAAATACGGAATCATAGACCTCTGTATGCTGGCATACAGTGGTCTATGATGGCATAGGTCTGTGATGGAATGGATCCCAGATCCAATTTTTGCAGATCCATGCACATGTCTGCAACCTTACCATCATTTTACCTCATTATTCCAGTAATGTCCAGGCATATTCCGGCCCCAGCTGTTCCCATCCTATTCATTTCCGTATCACCCACCCACACCTTACCTTTTCCGTCAGCGTTTCCGTCTTAGCTGCATTCCAGCGTTTTCCCCGCCACTCATTTCGGCGTCTAGTCTGCGGCGGCGACCAGGACTTTCCGCGGCGCGCGGGCGGCGGTCGACTCACCGCAGTGGGTCGCGGCAGCGGCGGCGGCGAGGGCGCCCGGATGGACGCGGTGCGCAGCGGACGCTCGCCGCGCGTGCCCTGAAGCACCCGCAGCACCTGCTTGTAGTCGCCCTCGTGCATGTCGAGCAGTTCATCCAGGTAGCTGGCGTCCACCCCCGGAAACTCCTCTCGCAGTCGCTGTCGGGTCAGCCGGTCGGCCTGGGTGGCCGGCGTCCAGCTGCTCTGCGCCTGTGCAGCGGTGGGAGGTTAGAGGGGACGGCCGAGTGGGTGAAAATATCCTCGCTTAGATGTGATACATCACTAAGTAAAGTCTCCTGCGCAGCTGGGGAAGCATTTAGCACAGTGGCGATTAACTATCCCTTTATCGCTTTGCTTGCTAATCGATAAAACACATGTGAAACATCTCTATCAAACACTTCAGTTGAGCACCTGAGGACAAGAAATACAGCCACTCTGAGTGGGACAAAAATACTACAAGGGCCAACCGAGATAGGCTAAGGTAAGCTAGTAAAACTACTTCTGACCGTTGTGTTCTAGACACGGAGGTTCTACCTGTTCGCTACGTTGTACAGCCTGCTGTTCAGCCATGATCTCCCGGAGCCGCGGCGTGGGGCTGGCGGCCGCGTGTCGGCCGTCCTCCTCCATCTGCAGCTGGCGGGCGATCTCCTCGTCTGGAGACCGAGACGAGTGGGGAGGTCAGTGGCGGCCACAACAGCGGCAGATGGTAGACATTGGAAACGGAGAACGGGCAAATATGAGGATTATTGGGGGGCGTCCAGAAAATGGTGCGAAAGAAGATAGACAGGCATTTACACAGCGAAGAACCGAAAAGACATTATCACAAATACCGGTCCTAAAGACATTGGAACCTGAGATTATACACGTCCTTTTGTCAGTTAAATTCGGTGTGAAATCGTCCATTTTAGAACTAACGAAATGTGTGTAGACATACCGCAATATTATATGCACGAATCGCATATTATCTCGGCGCAGGTTAGGCAGTCGGCGGTAAAGCATTCAATTTCGGCACAGCGGCAAAACGCTCCATTTTCAGCGATAGCGCAAGGTAGAATCGGCGGCGCCAGCACAGGTTTAGAGGTAACGCACGCGATTTAGCAACAGCAACAACCAAATTCGGCACTGTTCATTCAATTTCGGCGGGTAACTGGAGGCGCTCAGATGATTCATTTTTTTCAGGAACGCTTCTTGAGCATCAAATGAATCGTCATACAGCTTTGTGGCTTTGGGACATTCTCAGGGGGAGAAAAGCAGGCCATGGTTTGTTTAGCGTCACAGTACCTACCTAAGGCCGTCTCGCTGTTTCTCGTTTTGAATTCTGATGTGAAAAATTGATGAGCTTTATTGAGTAAGTACTACTTATCCTAAAAGATAACATCAGTGGGCTGGTTTCGTTTTTTATTACACTACCCGGGCCGCTCCTGTCCGCACATGGTGGACGACAATCGACAAAGCAAACGCCAATTGTTGTTGGACTCGAGGCAAACCCCGATTTTCTTTCAATGAGCCATGTCTGTGCTGTTGTCACTGTGTGCCAAGACTTTGCCCAAAACATGAACCCATTTCATCAGAAGGTGTTATTTTACTTCACCGTGAAAACAACCAATCACCATGCCAATCACACATAACGCAATTATATCAACCATACCAGGATGAGTCCTACCAACTGGTTATCGTCGCACGTCTTCCTGTTATGATCTATTGATCAACCATGCCTGCGTGAAACATCAAACATCCCTCGCCTACTGTGTGCAAAGGGACACGAAAATAAATTCAGCATTCCGTATCGTATCACCACGTCTCTCCTCACCCCGCTCCACCGTCCCCCATGAACACCACCAAAGGCTTAGCGCCGACAGTCTAACCCGTCCCATGGAAAAGACTCGCAGCTGCGGCAGGTGTATCTTTCTTCGCCCCCGCCACCCCCCCCCCCCCCCCACACACACATATCAAACAGCGTCTGACTGTCCATCTGGTGCTCGGCGCATCCTTTGAACAACCGCGCGACGACACCGGGCGTCTCCGGCGCACGGGCGAGGTCAAAGTTCAGTAGTCGCATACCCTGTCGGTCTGGCTTTGTTCTCCGCCGTCTTCGTTTTAAGCAGGTAGGTACCTCTGCAGTGATGTTAGTACGTACTTTATAAAAGTTAATGTTTTGTTTAACCCACAGAAAGCACGGACATGAAATCATTCTCATCGCTGGCGAATGCGAATGGAATAATCGGCCATAAAGGAGAGGGTGGAGGGCCGGAGGCATGCACAAGTCCAGACATTGAGACAGTGGCAACAGTAAACACCTTTAACACGTTTGACTTAATAACAATGCTCCAACAAGTTCATTTTGTAAGCGAGAAGTCTCTCCCTGCCTCCAAATAACCGCCGCAATTAAATGAATATCGCCGAATTTGGTTGCTGCTGTTCTAAATATCGTGCGGCCGTCTCCAATCTCCAGCAGCATCGCCGAAATACAATGCGGACACGCCGAAACCGGGCGTCTTTTGCTGCTGCGCCGAAATTAAATGCTTTAATGCCGATCACCGCTATAAACAGCCGACATGCAATGCTATACTGATAAATAGCTTTGCGGTATGTCTACAAAGAATCCGCTAGGTCTAAAATGGACGCGTACGTACCGAAATAAACTGATAAAAGGTGTAGACAAGAACGAACAAATTATCGATACAATATCTGAAGGTACTCAGCGTGTCACATGCGGCTTTTTACCCCGTACTCCATCCAGCGACGCCAACTCACCATTCTTCAGCAGAGCTTTGCGCTCTTCCTCCTCCCTCTGCCTATCGAGATGCTCCTTCAGACTGGCACCCAGCTCGTCGAACGAGCGCTGCTCGGCGTCGAACGCGGCCTCGGCGTCGGCCGTCCAGCAGCGGTGCAGACTGCTGGCCACCTCCAGTGGCAGGTGGATGGCCAGCTCACTGGCCGGCAGCTCGGCCAGCTGCGCCTCTGAACAGAGGAAGGGGGACACGGTCAAAATTGCGGAATCTTACGATAAAAACGCCTAATAAGCAATCTAAGATATCAAATACGAACGCCAGAAACAGATACAAAAACAACAATTGCATGGAAGTTATGGACATCAATGTCTAAATGACCATCTAATTTACCATATTATACCTAGGCAGTCCAGGATAACCCTACCCAGCTAGGAGTGGCATCCCTCCCCACCTCACTCCTCAACAAGCCAGCAATCAGCGCGTCACTCACCGGATCTGACGCCGAACTTGGTCGGTCCGAACAGCTCCTGCAGCTGGTAGGCCAGCCGCGGAGTGAGCTGCAGCTTCAGCTCGCCGGCCGATACGGCGCGACGGCGAGCCATCAGCGGCGAGCCGTTCGACGAGCTCGACGATGACGACGCGCCACCGGCGGCACCAGCAGCAGCGCGCGGCGGCGGCGGGCGCTCGTCATCCGATGACGCGCCGCTCAGGTCCTCCACGATGACGTCTGGCTCGCTGTCACTCGACAGCTGGCGACTCAGCTGCAGCGGCTGTTTGGGCCGCGCGCCCTGAGCGACCACCGAAGGCGGAGGCGGGGTCATCGTCTCCAGTCCGGCGGCCGCTTCTGCTACGTCGCCCACATCTTGTTGCTCTGCCCCCGTCTCCGCCGGGGCTGCAGCACCGTCCTCGGCACGCGGAGGCTCCATGTTCTGCAGCGACTCGAGGTCCGTCTCGAGCAGCACGCTGATGGCCCAGTCCACGTCGCCGCCGCACTGGTCCAGGATGTGCTGCAGGTTGGCCGCTGGCACGGTGGGGAACAGGTCGGTGAGGCCGTCCAGCTGATGGTCGACCGATTCAGGCGGCGGAGACGTCATGGTGCCGCGGTGCAGGGGCACGGTCAGCGGCGGGGGGCCGTCCGCGGTGGCCGGCGCCGGGCGCCACGGCCGAGGGCTGACCGTCCGGCCGCCGCCGCCGCCCGTCTGACAGCCAGCCTCGGCCGACTCCCGCGCTACGACAGAGCCAAAGACGGCCGACAGCGCCACGGCCGTCCCGCTCTGTACAGCAGGCTCGGCGGCGGCGGAGCTCCACACACGCTCGGTCGCTTCAGCGCCCGCCTGCGCCCAGTTGAGCTTGTTCAAGGCGGACGCCATGTCTTCCATGGTGATTTCCTTTGGTCTCGGGGGTGTCGCTGGAGCAGGGATCGGAGCGGGCGCCGGCGGCGGCGGCGGCACCGCGGCACGGGCGGGGGCGGGGGCGGGGACGGGGGCGGCCGGCGCCACCGAGCGCTGCAGGGAAGCCGCCGTGTCCATCGCCGGCAGAATATTATCTGGAGCGACGGGAGGCGGCCACGGCTTCGGCACCTCACCAATCGTCCTGTAAAGAAATAAAGGAGGTAGTTAGTAAGACTGTGGAGAGTCTACTTTCTACCATCCACCAAACAGGCGACTAAAACAGATGCTTATGCACAACACAAAGACAGTCAGATAAAACGAATATTGAGTTATGCAGAGCATGACATCCATCCATTGGATAAATTTGTTCTTCCGAAATTCAGATAGTAAATTATATAGCAACCCTCCTCAGATATTAAAATCTGCTAACATATTCTCGGATACCCGCCCTTTTCCCTACCGCACTCACCCGTACAGAGCGACAACTGTGAGCCGATCCGAGCTCTCGAAGCGTAACATCATTCTCTCGATGTTTCTCTCGGGGACGCTATGCACGCTGCGCTTTGACAGCAGGCGCGGGTCATGGCGCCACGGCGTGGTCGGCTCGGCATACTCCACGTAGTAGTCGAGCTCGACCGCCAGTTTCACGTAGGGCTGCATCTCCCAGGCCTGCGTGTTGGTGTTATCCACTACGACGGGCGTCCGGCCGCGGCGCATGGCGGCCCGCGCCTGCTGTCGACACCACTCGTGCGCCTCGCTCAGTTTCGCCGGGTTGAACACGTACTGCCCTCGGCTATTGACAAAGTAGTCGTCTGCGCTCACCACTAGGCCGTCGCGGCCGGCCAGCTGCTTGGCCAGCGTCGTCTTGCCGCTGCCGGGCAGGCCGCGCATCAGCACCAGCAGCCGCACACCGGCGGCCAGCTTCTGCTGCAGCGGCGTGGAGAAGCTGCTGGTGTCCTGGAGGGCGGGCGGCGGCGGCGGCCGCCGGGGCGCCGGTACGGGCGGCGGGGCGCGCGCCACGGCGCCGCCGTAGCCGCGGCCGCGGGCCGGCGCCGCGCGCGAGCCGCCCGATCTGGGCGAGGCCGGACTGTGGTCGCTCCCGGAGGTGGTCGGACTGCGGTTGACGCCCGCCTGTGGGTGCACGGTCCGGCGCCACTCACGGCCGCGCCGATTGGACGTCATGGCGCTGAGCTGGCGGCGACACTCCTCCTCTGAAACGGACAGAAACAGCTGCAAATAAATCATAACATAACCAGGAATATGTCACATGGCAGTCACCATGGGGGATGTCATAGATATCAGCACTGTCTGGGCACTGCTCATCAACTACAGGTGTTGATAAATTATTACCAGTTAATTCTGTCAAAAAGTGCATACCTATTTGATTATTTATATTCGATTTCAACAGGCTATGATCTGAATAAAGCACAAACCCAAAGTGTTAGAAGTTTTGAAATTTCTTTGGTGGAATAAGTCAAAAGTCCAGGGTCAATGTCACTTATAAAAATAACTGTTGATGAAACACAAACTCAGTCTATGTTTTGCTTTTTATTTGTATCTACTATCTATGCAATTTAATACTTATCAGCTGCATTAAAATGCAGCAGCAACTGCAATATTCACACATAATGGGAATGAGTACTAGTAACTACTGTGTATAGCTTTTGGCTTAAAACTGAATTAGGTATATGAGTTTTATATGAATAATTTGTTTTTTTTTTAGCATTCAGCAGGGTCAGTGAAGGATCCTTATGCAATAAGTATAGGAGATATTCACTGAATGGTTGACTGTATCAACTATCAAGCTTAAAATAAATAATTGAAGTATAAAATCTTATAATTCCCTGCATGTGTCAAATATTCATTTCTATGAAAAGTTCCAATTCTTACTAGTGATATAGCTATACATATTTGAAGATTTACCTAAATACCGATTTACCTTCCTCATTTACGATCAAACTTGCTCAATTTCTTTTAAGTTAAATTCCAATTCATTCATTCATATTTCATATAATGCAAGCATTATTATAAAACAACTCAACAAATTATGTAGTCACAACAGCTAGGATATGAACAATGGACAAAATAAGGAATACAGAGGGCTGTTCACGGGCCCTGTGTGCGGTTGGACCGCACACAGCCTCCAAGCTCCGCCCACTGCGTCCCTACGTCAGCATTCCGTCACCGCGACCGCTGTGGCCGGTCGGGACCGGCCACAGCGGACCGTCCACCGCACGCAGCCGTGACGTCAGAGCCGCCTACCCATCCCCTACCCCCACGCCTGCTGGACGCACCGCACACACCGCACGCAGCAGTGTGCGGTGCCCGTGAACACCCCTCAGGCAAGAAAAAAAATATAGAACATTTAGTTGGTGACATGTTGAGCTAGGCAGGACACTAACAAGCCAACAAAGCTGGAAGGTTGCAACTTGCATCTGTACCCCTGGGTAGATCTTGTTCAGAAGCATCACAGCTTAGCATAACAGCCAAGTTCAAATTTGGGTAGGTACATATTGATACCAGAGATCAAAATGAATCTTCCAATTATTTCTATCAAGCAAATCAAGGCAAATACAACTAAAAAATCAATATATTTGATAAAATACAAACTCAACACTTCTGTCTTAGTCTTGGTAAGAAGTTATAACTTAAACCTTTAAAAAAAATACATATCTTAGAAAGATACAGTATCTTACCATTGCAGTTCAGCCCATCAATGACAAGTTCAATGACTGTGGCATCAATGTCTAAGGGTATGAACTCAGAAAACAGTCGTTCCTTTACTTCAGCTTGATTCCTTCCTTCCATAATTGATTTGACAAAATATGTCAATGATCTCTTATAGCATTCAGTACTTTCAAGATACAATTATGCAGCTTGGCACGTTGACGTCTAATCTCATTATCTCAGCACAGTAGACTTCAAAACTTGAACTGGCCACCATGGCTGTCAGTCAAAGCATATTACCCAGACTGATTCACTGGGACAATTATGTGTGCCAGGAACCCTAAACCCAACCCAACCCTAACTTTCACTGGAACGCAACTGGAATCGTATCTATGAGTCTATGACCGTGAACTGGAAAGACCCGTGAATGCCGTGAATGCGTATCTTGATCTGGGTAGTTGGAAAATTATGAATCATATTTCTTTGCATTGCTATCATCAGTGTCCGTTGTTAGTCGGACGAATTAAAAGATATTATAAATATGACGTCACAAGAACTCAAGAAATGAACTCTTCTTGTGTTGTCAGTTGCAATGTCAATGCTTTTTTTTTTGTTAAATTCCAATAAATATGTATTGGTCCATTTAACTAGTAACGTAAAAAGTTCAAAGTTTTTTTGTGAGTTCATTACCTAGTAAAGAAGGTACACCAATTAGTAACTCTGGATTGAAATTACGTCATTGATAAAAGTAACAAAAAAATAAGAGCCCTGATCGGCGGCCGGCTAGTACTCTAGCCCGCGCTCACATACGTGCACGTTACCCCGGCAACGGGCTATTGACCAATGAGAAGCGAGAAAAGTGTTACGTCACTGCGATTTTTCATATACCTGTGCCCCCCGGACGTGACGTAGTGTGCTCGCGCGCGTGCAGGGTCTCTGCGATCGAAAAAGAGCGCTAGCAGCGCGCCACTCGACGCCGCAATTGTCAAAAGCGGCGTGTTAGTATGCTTTATTATGAATGATGTGTGTAAAAGTGAGTTTTTATGTTGTTTATTTGGAGGAAATGGTTGGAATAAATTAAGTTATTTTATTTCTGTTGGTTGGAGTTTTTATCCAAAAGATTTCGGTCTATACCATTGATATTTACTGAAAATACCTTCGCTTGAATAAATTGCAGATATCTGGCAACTGAAGTGTTAGGTAAGCCTAAATGATATGTAAAAAGGTAAGAGACACCCTGATTATCATTTGAGAAACGAAAATATATGAATTTTCCTAATAACACTCGCTCAATATGCTGCTCCGCGGTTTATGCCCCGAGGGTGTCCGAGGGTTCCCGTTAGTTTGTCGTTGGCGCTCGGCTCGCGCGCGAGCCGACGTCACCGCCTGTGACGTCGGCTCGCGAAATACGTCATACCCTGCACACAAAATAGCCGGCTGCCGAACAGCGCTAAGGAAATAATAGCGCCTAAACGTATTAGCTGCGTCATATCTGTCTATGGGTCTGTTCCCGTCGCTCCTGCAGCGTATTTTGAATTCACCATAGGGCTCAGCCATTCCTAGAGGAATTCTAGGCACCTTGGAAAAAAGCGAAATCGCGCTAGGGATTTCAGCCGATCTGGCAGCTCTTCCGATGCCACTGGCGCGCCTTTTAATCCAAAGCGCCTTTTTCGTGTCTCATGTTTGCTCGTTTATTGCGGAGGCCTATATATGCTTCAAGATGCTGGAAAAGGTTGGTGATTAATAAGTATTTCCATTTTAGGTGCATGTTCTTTGCAAGAAATACAGTTGTTGTTGCTGTTGTTGTGGGTTAGGGCGCAAGAAATACAGGTATATGTCAAGTTTAGGTCCTAACTATAACTGTGACGCTGTTGATACAAATCTGTAACAGCAAAAAAATTATGTTTTAGGTTACGTTAGGCTGTAAGTTTTAGGTTGCATTGTAGGTTTGTAGGTAGTAGATTGGTAGGTTATAGGTGAAAAGGTAAGGTTAGTTCAGGTTTGATTATGTTTTTCTTTAGTTACGAGACATATAAGTATCATTTTTGGATTCAGGATGTCAAATAATGGTCGGAAACACTAAATTCAAAATTAACTAATTTTGAAGCGGGGACCTCCATGTGTACCGGCCAAATAATGTAAGAATATGAAAAAATTATCCATGAAATCTGCTTAGGACTTAAACTTGACATTTACCCACATGGCTATAGGTATCACCAGCAGAATTATAATCTTTACATAGGTAATTTTTAAGAAATGCTGTAAGTGAAGATTATGAGTCGTGTAACCATTGTTACTATATTGATATTAAATATTGAATAGGTACAAGTCCGCCACTAACTTTATGGAACATTCCTTCTTCCAACAGGATCACTTCCAAGTAATCTGGAAGGCTGATGCCAAGTACATCTTGTGCGAGAAGCTTGATATGATTCCTGACCTGGAACCGGTGAGCATCAAATATAGCAATTTGCTTAAAGCAATAGCAATTGCCGATGATGGCAATTTCAATTTGCAGTAACACATATTATATGTAATTGGTTTGAGCCATGTTGCAATCATTTCATGAATGAAAACTTCCATTTTTAAAATGGAACTATCAACTTTCCCCACAGGCTTCGGTAACAAAGTTTTATCAATTGTGAATGACAATATTATTGGTATGAGTGGTGTGTGCGGTGATCTGTATTTGAATATAACGCGTCTTGTCACTAAGTATTTGTCATCTGCATTATAGCTGACTATTACGGTAATACGATCGTGCATTGGTCCCAGACAAGAATACCCCAGTGAGACCTTGCATTATTTCGTTTCAGGAGTTGATGGAGGGCACCACTGTGGCCTACCGATGTCCGGCGTCAAAGGAATCGGCCCTGCAGTGGATTCAGCTGTACCAAGAGGCCGCCAACATCACCCTGACGACGTACGACTCCATGTCGAATGGCCAAAGGGTGGTGTACTGGGTGAGAGCTTTAGTTTATGAAATACCAGTTTGGGCTCGCCGTGTAAAGCTCGGCAGGGGGGTACTTTTGCCCGAGCACTCGACCTGGGCCCGCCAATGGAAAATTCTGCTGGTGCAGAGCCTCCTGAGGGTTCAGCAAAGACCCGCCGTATGAAAGCCTGTCGGGGTCTACTGACAGAGGGCCCGGCGGCCTGGGCTGGCTGCATGAATCCCCAGCTTGATGCCGCGTACTGAGGACCAGTCATCCAGCCGTCATACCGGGTGTCTCGGAGGACTGGACGGGCACCTACCAGCGGGCCCGCTAGATTTCGGGAGGGTCAGCTGACCCCTTTGTCCCCCTGACTCCTCCCTGGGTGCGCCACTGCACCCAGTAACTTTTACTCTTTTATATCGCAGGAAGGTGCGGGTTAATGAAACACCATGATCAGGGTCAGTTAAAAAGGTAACGTTTTTAAATCGAGAAACTTTCATCCTCATTTAAATGACGGACTAATGAGTGGCAATTGATTTCATCACTTTTGTTAATGTTGTCAATTTTTTTTTTCAGGCCAGGCTTCGTTGTCACCACGACGTCCCAGAAAAGCCGAGTCGTCCGAGGAAAAACCAATCCGCCAAGGACACCGGGTGCCCCCTGCGCCTGAAAGTGACTGTCGCCAACATTCCAAAACGGCAAGTTTCTCACCGTCTTTTGTCATTGGCACCTTTTACCAGGGCTGCGGAGTCGACCCAACTTTAGCCAACTCCGACTCCGACTCCGGCCTCACAAAATCGACTCTGACTCCGACTCCGACCTATTAGTTCTGGAAAGCATTTATTTGGTCCTTTGGTTCACCGAACCAGTGCAGAGACGTGAACTTCGGGAGAAAAGAAAAGGCTGATCAAAATCGTAGGTCGATTTTGTTGTCTGACCACTTTGGATCATCGGGATAATTGCCATTTTGCTTTCACCAGACAACAATTTCACTTGATGAAAGGCGATTTTCGGACTACATGGCCGGAGTCGGTAAAATCTTATCGACTCTGGCCAAGAAAAAAGATCGACTCCGACTCCGACCAAAACTGTTGACTCCGACCGACTCCGACTCCGACTCCGCAGCCCTGCTTTTTACAAACGCCTTAGTTGATCAAACGATCAACCGCAATTGAAAAAAAAACTACATATTTGATGAAGGAGTTCGCTGCCGAAAAGATATCAAGTCGCTATCTTTCTTAGTTGTGCCAATCTTGGCTCAGAAAACTAAAAACGGTGATAATCCGAAACATTTCACCTCGCTCGTTCCTTGCCTCAAAAGGTTTCTTGCTGGTACCCTATAAAAGTGCGTGGAAGGAGCGGAATTTCTTCTGAATAACACCATCGTCTCGTGTTTTTTTATATTTGTTGACGAATCCTCCCTTTCCAGGAATAGGTCTACAGACCCATGCGCGGCTTACGAGCTACGGGTGACATGTAACAAGAAGCCCCACAACCACGCCGTGGACAACGCTGCCGCTCTGAGACATCGACGCGTCTCTGAGCTGACGAAGGCCCGGCTGATGGAGCTGTTCCAGCACCACCACTCGCCCTCCACGGCGCTGGAGACCCTGAAACTACAGCTTCAGGAGGAGCATGGGAGCGCCTACCCGTCGGTGGCCGCAGACCGAGCCATTGTCCCAGATCGGATGGCCGTCTACTAGTAAGTTTTTAACAGCTTGATGCAAAGCCACACTGCCACAAGTTAGCAAGTCTGTAGGGACAGTATCTGAAATAATAAGACTTTCCCTATAAAGTTACACATGATTCTCATATATGAGATGCAATTGATCGTTACACGGAGCAGAGATGATAGGGCTACTCAGAAAAGAAGGCCGCATGTCTGGGATATGTGGTTGCGATCCGAGACTGATCTGGCCATTGACAATTTTTGGGTCCCCTATTGCAATCTGCCTGTTTTCGTGTCACATCCAGTTCTACTGTTATCTATGAATTGTGTTGTGCTAAAAACTCGCAACATTTTACGCTGCGATAAATGCACTCTGGTTTAGTAAAAGCTATCGATAATCATATTACGTACGCCTATGTGTCAGGGTCATTTCCGTTTTCCTGCTTTTCGTGAAAAACCTGAAGGGGAATGGCGTCTAGACGCCCCCCTTCCGGCCCAGCGCAGGTTAACATTATTTTCACCTTGGATTTGTGTAATTCAATGCGCTGAGGGGTAAGCTATATTTTGATTAGGACGAATCAGGAACAAGTGGGACAGCTGAAGCTTAACCATAAGTACACTGTTATGCAATCGGTATTTTATCACAAAATGAAACTGACCACCACTTGCAGCTGGAAGTCAATTGACAATGCAATGTGTTTTCAGCCTGTACTACAAGCACTGTCGGGAGCGTTACCCAGCCTCGACCCAGGAGGAGACCATGGACCTCATCCGCCACATGAAGGACGTCCGCACGGCGGTCTCAGTCGAGGACGGCGAGACG